TCTACCGTCGATATATTAAATAGACATTTTGTAATTATAATGGCCTTAATGACTTGTTATCTGTAAGCTTTAAGCTTTAGCTCCGTTGAAAATGGACTTCAAAAAAATTTATAATAGTCCAGCATTGCCAGAAAATAATTTCTATTCAAAGTAGAGCGGTAAGTGAAAGTTGTGTGTTGCGCGCACCAGATTTTTTCATCTAAAGCCACTCGGGTAGATGCGAAATGAAACAATAAACAATTAGTAATGTACCTTCTTTAAAATAATAAACTCTTATTATACTAATTCAGTAACTAAGTTGAGTTTCATCATATTTTAATCTTTATTTCTTTAATACACAATAAATTAAATTTAAAAAAGCGACATATTTAGTGGGAGGAGCCACACGAAATAAACAGCAATCTATGCTATGTTCTAGGAGAGGGAGACTACTGTAAAATTTTGAGCCAGGTCCTGACTCAGTTGATGGCGTTAAGGCATCTTTGCACCTCGAGTTTTGAGTCTAGCGCTAGTTCGATTCCAGTCTGGGTGGATTGAAATTTATTAGAACTTACCACTCTGGTTAGAACAGATTCGTTACATGTAAGGTAATTGAAATTGAAAGTATGGAACTATTAAAACTCAGATTTTTTCTATTTTCTTTATTACGTCTCTTGACTTATTTGACTTCCGGCATTTGTCTTCTAGCAGCTATGGAGCTGTTATTGGCGACAGTTTTGATCGTTTGGTTTTCTTGACGAGGGAAATTTTCTTTTTTTGTTAAGTGAAAAATATTTGTTTCTGCTATTAGATAGTTTCGATTTTAACTTAGTCAGTAAAATGAGTTAAAAGTTATAATATTTATTAGAAGAGAAGTTGACTGAACACCCCAACCAACTTCTCTTCAACTATTTAATACAGTCAATTATTCATCCACTATTATAATATTTATTTCGAAGTACACCTCCAAAAATAATGTAATAAAAATGTTAGTTAATGGGGAGGAATTTTTTTACTTTTACACGATCAGAGCTGTCAGCCATTAGCACAGGCGAATCTACGGGGGGAGAGGGAGGGGGGAGGGGGAGCTTTCGGGCTGAAGCTCTCTCCCCCCAAAATGGTAAAATATAACCATGTTTTACAGAAAAAAATATTAAAAACTATCTCTTAAATTATTATTGTTCGTGTAATTACATTTGATAGGACTTCAAGAACCACTTAAACACCATTTCATATAGGTAGTTAATTTCTTTCTTTTTTTCTAATTAATTATTGTTATATGTATATGAAAAAAAAATCATTCGGGCTGAAGCCACCCCTCCCCCCAAATTTAAATCCTAAGTGGCCATTAGCTAAGCCTGAAATTAGATCAAAATCATACATCGGGACCCCCTATCACAAACAAAATTCATGTGTTTCATTACGCTAAGATTGTAATGCTTTATATAAAAAAGAATAATAATGATTATGGTATAATTTAATAATAATTATTTAAGTAAAGTGTTAAAAATAACATTAGGAGAAATGTAACTATTTTTAATAATAACAGTTATTTCCAACGGTGTTTTGCTTTCTTTCTATTAATTAAAGTTTGAACAATCCAGTCAAAATTAAATATTTTTTCAAACCTTGGACTCAATAGACGAAACATATTTTTCTTACTTTTTTTTCTTTCAACTTTAAAAAAAAAATAATCAAATTTGTAAACCAGCAATACTGTCAGAATATGATAAACTATTTCTTATTATTCACTACATTGAAACGAAATTTTTAATTTGCATACGTTTGTTCGACAAACGTTTGGCTGTTAGTCAAATACGTTAGTCTTCTCTTAAGTCCGGATCCCGAGGATTTCGTACTGTGGGTCCTATCTCACTACAAGTTCGGGTGAGAGTAAAGGAATGGGTGCCTAATTCATCTTGTACACCAGGCAAAACTTCTAAGTCTGGTCCCGTGTAAACCTAAGCCCGCCCCTGATACGTATCATATATAAAATGATAGTTGATAAGTGATTAGTACAATTAAGTGACAAATAAAGAATACTTATGCTATGTATAATAGGCAGTGCCGACCTTAGACATTCGATGCCCCGCCCCCAGGAGAATCACTTCATCTCTTCCCCAATAAATTATTTTTTTCTTCTAATCCCGATTCTAGCTTTTTATTATGTAATATTTGGATTTTATTTCATCCAATATGTCTCCAATTCAGTTGCTTTAACAATTAATTATTCTTATTTATTTATTTATTATAATGGCACTACTGTTCTGCAAGAACCCGGGCCTCCTCCACTACTGACAACCAGTCTTCCAGATCCTATGCTTTCTCCCTTCATCTTTGAACACCCAGCCGTCTCAGACCATCCTCCACATTCTCCAGCCATCTGATCCGAGGAATTCCTCTACTTCTTTTGCCACCCATTTGATGAGAATATTGATTCTTTTAGGGAATGGCCTTAATTTCAAATCTCTTTGCATTGAAAAATAGCATATATTTTCTTCTGCTATTCTGGCATTTATTTCATTCTCTACTTTGTTATTGTGTGTAACTCTAGACTATCTAGTTACTTGAACTGCTTTACAGACCTAAAGTTTAGGTCTCTTAAAGTTATTTCCCTATTCACTTCCTTTTCCCTTCTTGTACTTTTCATATAAATCATCTTATTCATACTAAGGCTCATTTTAGTCGCTGCCTCTTCGAATTCCTGGAATGTTCCGGATAATGCTGCTTGGGTTCTAAAAATAATGACAATATCGGCATATGCCAGATGTTGAAAAAGACAATTATAGATTGTTCCTTCCGGATTAGTTCGAATAGAACGAATAACAACTTCGTGTACTCAGATATAATTTCTTAGAACCATTATTTCACTCAATTATTTTGTTAGTCATGTTTTTTGTAATCTTTACTCCCTCCTCCCTTTACATCAAATCATTTCTCATAATCTGGTGTAAGTTACGAAAAATAGATTATTCTCATACTCTTTATAATTTTATTTTATCCCCGAGTAGTGGGCGTTCCCCTTCAAGTCGTCACTGACAATAGGATGGAATAAATTGAATTAGAAAAACAAAATGTTTGATGCTAGGCATATGCAATTGATCCAACGGATGAACTCATTTATATGAATGACTCATGTCACAACAGTAAAAACAGTAGCACGATGTGATCATGAGCACTAGTCATTTCTACCGAGCACCTACGATCTGGTTATGAGGCTGAATCAAAATATGTAAATAATACCGAAATCGAATTTGTTGGTTGATACCTAAAGCCAAAAATGAAGTATATATACACCAAAAATTATTTATTATATTCTGATTAAAGGTTGTTTGAATTCATTCATTCATTGCATTAGCTATATTAATTCATCAATTACGTACATTATAAGAAATGAGATGATGATGTGAAACCAATTTTTTGGGATCTCTACTTAAACGTTTCATCAAATTCGCCTGAGTCCTAATAAAAACAATTGCTAATGAAAAAAGTTATATTTTTCCCTATTCCTAAGAATCTTCTGTCCCTTTCGCTACAGAAGTATTCCGAGAAAGGTTAAGGGTAAGTAATAATTAATGCAGTCGTACTGAAGTATTAAAAAACCGATCTTTAGCAATTTTTTGGTATGTGGATGATATTTACTCTGTGTTTTGGTCGACACTTGAATTAGATATAATTTCCTAGTGCTATTATTTCACTCAATTTTCTCGTTAGTCGAGTTTTGAAATTTTTACCACCACTTAGTTAACTATCGATAATTTCACAATTGTATCAATAGTGAAACATTGGTTTGGTCAAGGAACTGATAGAAAACAAACATCAGAAAGATTGCAGTTTATCTATTTAACATCCAACCGGATGAGATACGCCTATGTAAACGAAATGGCTATTTTTTATTAACTTTTTCATTGAATTTTATCGTAAAAATTCTTTCATAAATTCAACAAGAAAAAACCTTTGAACCGCTGTGGTATTTTCGAACAAATGGATAGATATTTGCTACGTAAAAATAAATCATATTTTATAATACACATTTTCATATTATAATACATATAAAATGATGCAATCAACATTATTGTTTACACTAACGGATCCAGGATTTAATTTCGGGAGAGGGGGAGGGGCTTCAGTCCGAAAGATTTTTTTTGTATGTATTAGGACAACTTCGGAAGAAAAAAAGAAAACAAGTACCTATATGAAATGCTGTTTAAGTGATTCTTTAATTCATATTAAATGTAATTAGACAAACAATAATACTTTAAGAAATAATTTTTTTAATAAAATAAAACATGGTTATATTTTACTATTTTTTGGAGGGGGGAGAGGCTTCAACCGGAAAGCCTCCCCCCTCCGCTGTAGATAGCCCGTGAATATTTAAAAATGTGAGAAATATTTGAAAAATATAAAATATTGATTGGTAATATTATTTTAATTAATAGACATTCGAATTGAACGAATTTGGGCATTCAAAAATATATGTGCGATCTTTTTACAATGAACACAACAGACTTCATTTAATTAGGATCATTATACATAAATGTTACATGTATAATAATTATACAATTATTGTTGATTTGGATAATTTCTATATAAGTTTATCTTTATTTTGAATGTATGTAAATTAAAAATGCTTTTACGGTTTAATGTCACGGCTTTCTGTATCATTTTTCTTTAGTGACAGCTAGGTGTATTTTTTTTCAAATAAAATACTGGTTTGAAAAATTATTAACGTTTAATGAATCAATAATTGTACACTATATTGCCTATAAAACAGAGTTTTAAATGTCATGCCAGTGGATTAAAATCGATATTTAATATTTAATTATCTATTCTTTTTTTTATTATCATTTTTTTTACATCTTTATCAGAATCTCCTAAAATAAAAAATACATAAGAAAATGTTTTTAAAATAAAATATTATAGCAGCACGGAAAAATCGATTTTGTGATTAGTTTGGTATCGATTGCTACAAAGATAGAACAACAGAAAATGGCTGTCCGGGTAAGGTTACTAGTATCACGATGTCTGTTCCTTTCCAAGGGGTATTAAAACGAAGTGGAGGCATAACTGCAGCAATAGCGAAACAATTAAGAACACTTACATTAAAACCAGTAAATAAGGTTTCTATTAAATTTGATCCTTTCCACCACAAGATAGAGCAAACAAGGTAAACATGCATTTATAAATTAATCTGTATTTTTTTAATTACCTGGTTGTGCGAAGGATTTTCCAACCATAGAAGCTGTGTCCCTATGGATATGTGCCACTTCTTGGAATGGTACTGCCATTTCTCTCTGTAAAAAAAGGACTTTTATGTTGCTTTTCAGATATTTTATGCACTACATTACAGCTCCTAAAGTGCAGAAAACAAATTTAGCTTGTAAATTCAAGACAGAAGTTATTTGTGACCGCTCTGATCCCATAGTAACATTCAAGTTAGGTGATTAAACATTTTGATTACATCCTAATTTGTGTACATCCTAAAATTACATATTTTTTAATTATGTTCATTTTTCAACATTAATTTCAGCAAATGGTGATGAGGTAATTTTTAAATCTGCAAATCTATCAGTGCTGGAGATGTTTAAGCTTTATAACAAGCATATAACAGTTCTTGCACCTAAAGAAACTGAGACTGCACCACCTATTGTAACTAAATCTGTAAAGAAGACAACAGGTACAAAATCGCAACCAAAGAAAAAGTAAAGCACCATGCCTAAAAAACAAGAAGACACCTACAGTATCAAAGTAGTTGAAGAGTTGTATAATCAGGTTCCTGCATTCACTGAAGTGTTTGATGATGAAGAAGCATTTTACACATTCGTAATGTACTTTGTTGCTGGTACCTTTGTGTTAGTGTTCATTATATCACGGTTTGTTACTTTACGTCCTGTAGAGTGGTAATTTAATAAAAACTTTAATAACTTGTATAATTTATTGAAGTAAAAATATTGAGAGATTAGGAATCTATGTGTTTTACTCTAATTATCATTTTAAAACCCTACATTTATGGTTAGGGATACTGCTTTATGTATTTTAAGTAGTAAAATATGAATGTTTCCTTTTGTGTGAAGAAATAGTCAGAAATCTATACTATGATAACTATTATTGTATTCTATATACAATTAATGTTAATGCTGGAAACATGACGGAATAAAAATTGTGTTGTCCTGACATGTGTACATAATTTTATTTATTTTAATTACTTACATTTGCACTTAGTTACTCAGTCTCACAGTTAGTTATCAATTCTTCTCTCATAATAATTAATCTGGTTGTATATACTCCTAACTTTTAAGTTTTTAAATCTTTTATGAATCCATGGAATCAGAATCCTCTCAGAAGAAAGTGGAGATACCATATTATAGTGGGAGCTAAGATGGTTTTGTTTGACAATATCAAACTTCCTGAAAAATAAAATGAAATTTACATAAAAATTTGTTAAAAAAGTGGCTTCTATAGTATTTCCTATTGCATTGGATTTTTCATCTGCTTGTTTAATAATTTACTAAGCAATGCATATTGAAATAATATTCTTCCTGATTTAATTACAATTCTGTTGTCTGAGTGGGGAACATTAATTTTAAACTTAAAAAACAAATTGTTTCAACAGAATCAGATAATTATAATACAAGCCTTTTCTAAATAAAAAATCTACCCCAAAATTCATATTTTTTACCTTCAGCCATCCATATCAATATTAATTTCAGTGCTCATTATTTATAATAATGTTTTATGGGAGTAATATCAGTATACACATTGTATTATTTTGCTATCATAAGTGGTACCAAATCACTTCAGAGATAATAAATTTGTTGATAGCGTTGCATTATAAAACCAGATGATAATCATAGTGAATATAAACTTGGATGAATATGACAGATTCAGAGTATATGTTTGTAATTACAGTATTTCAAATGGGGATTTTGAATGATACAGTTTTAATTTATTTCAGATAGTAAACAAATTATGAAATATAGACAGAATGCATTTAAAAACGCATACTGCGTATTAGAGTCATCATAAAAACATTACTTTCCACGACCTACGTCACTGGAAATTCAAGGTCAAACATCGGTACGCCATTCCTTTTAAATCGTTGATAAAGGGTAGTAAAGTCCCAAGTGTTAACTTACCTCGTTTCGCAATTATCCAGAATTATCTATAGAATATCAGCTGATATGTGGGGAAAATGAACTGTATCCATTACGATGATTCTAGCTGAGAACTACGAGTCAGATTGCAAGTTGAGTGTAAAATCGATAAGTTAACACCACCATTCTAGGAATCTGTTTACGTTCGGTTTTTCATTCATATCCTGTTTTGGTTTACTCGGTTGAATGACAATACGAGTGAGTTTAAAGGGTGAAGAAGTATTCATAAGTAAATTTTATTAATGCATCAACGTATCGAACCGCACTGTTTACAAACTTCTAATTATCAATGACACTTGTCGGCTTTATCACGATAGGTGACTGATATCACTAATCGGCAATGTCAGTTTAAAACATTATAAAAATATCTGTAGAATGTATATTCAAGGTTAATATTGAATTTTTGATATATTACAACTATCCAGCCCGGGTTGGATTGAAACCGCTGTTTGGGGGCGGAGCTTGGAGCATAGCACGTGGTACCATGACGTCAACAAACACATGAGTTTATTTATCCAAGCGACCCCCACCCAATGTGTGACAGTTGTAGTATCGTCTAGAAAGTTACAAAATTGGTTAATTGTTGTTATAAACAAAGCCTAAAACCTTTTATTTATTCAGTTTTTTATAATATTAAAAGTTGTTATAGGATTGAATAAAGGAGCTTCTGCCCGGGGTATATCAGTAGTATTCTGTCCCAAGGTCAAGGTGTCTTGAAGCTACCTTCAGTGAAAGTGGTTTCAATTTCTGGATTAGTCATTTCACTGTCTAACAACATCCCACCTAATAATTCATTACATTATTCTAAATTTTTCAGTTTAAATATTTTGTTTTTACCATTGCATTTCTTACTCACCTTCATATTTAAGAGAAAAAATATGGAGTTAAATTTTTTTTTTTTAATTTAGCGTTTTCTGTCAGATTAGAATCTCTTCTAGTACCTGATATATATTTTCTTTGTGGTCTTTGTAAAAGTAGAATCAAGATGATATAAAATAAGTTAATCTCTCAAAAGGAATAAAACAAATACAATTAATAGATTTAGAGTATTTCATATTAAATTTAACCTTTCACATTTGAAAGCTTCATATATTTAATACCAATATTCTTAAATAGTAAATTCTAGTTTTCTTTAATTAATAAGTCAAGTAGTCTGAAGCCCTGGTCACAGATAGCCATTTCGATGCAGCATCTTGCTATAGGCTCCCTTGGTAGGGGAGGTCAGTCAATCCACAGGAAGCAACCCACACTGATAGATACAGACCTGATTTAATATTGATATTAAAAAATCTAAGTTAATAATAGGGTATGTCCCCAGAAAAAAATAATACAGGCACCTCCAATTTTATAATACTGGTATGATAGTTGACTGTAATGAATAATTGAAGAAGTAGGTTGGGGTGTTCAGTTAGAAATAAAGAAATTATATTAATTTTTATATTTGTCGAAAATTCATAAGTTTCTCTCTTTTACTATTATTTTTCTCATACTTTCTATATTTATTTTTCATAAGTTTATAGTTTCTCATGTTTTTATCTGATCTTAGCCCTGAACTTTGGGCCGAGAAATGTCAGTAAATATAAAAATAAATATCATCTAATCTGTTTATTTTTGACTGAATACCTCAACCAACTTATCTTCAATCAATCCTATCATTTTAATTAGTTTTCACTATGTCTTAATGATTTAACATATAGAGTTGTTGCTGTAAAATCAGGCAATTTTATTATTTTTATTTTAAAATTAAAACAAATCAACTAAAGCATGACTGATGCTTTAAAAAATTATAAATTTTGACTTTATAGAAATAATACAAATCAATTAGATAAGAAGATAAAAGAAGCTAGTAAGCTTCAACATGACCTACCCCTCATAAATTTAATCACAAAAATTGGCTCTTAAGTTTCTATAAAATTCATTTACCGGAATTTAATGCATTAGTAAACCATATGTTTTCATGTGATTATTCTCAAACAGTGCTTTACTGAAAAGAAATGGGACTTATAATTACTGATTAGGTTTTTATTTATTGCATATATTTAAATTCACTTAAGTAGTGTTAAAAAGTTAGTCGATTATATATAGATGGAAGCGGAATATCTCAGTGGGTGAGCACTGACTTCCAGAGCTCAAGGTGCTGGGTTCAAATCCGGCTGATGACTAATAATTTTTCATTAGCCGTGGATCCACCCTGAGGTCAGGAGATCCTCCTGGGGCACACCCAGCCTCTATTATAAAGTGTACTCTTTAATTAAGAGGGAAAACCTGGTGGTTAATCATATCAGCCCAATCACCACCCTGCACAAACGTTTGCCTTGTAATAGTACTGCACCCAAGACCCTTCATGTGCTGTAATGGTACAGCGCTATTATATATTGGTACAGTTTATCGGAAAGAAATTTGTGAGCCATTAGCAATTAGTTAACTCTTCGACAACACTGGGCAAGTTGTAGATTTTTTTTTTTTATTCACATTCCAAAAATAATTACGAATACTTATTATATATGAAAACAAACAAGTCATAGATTTTAACAAATATTTATGTATACATTTTATATTAGAAGGTACTGAGTATGAAAGGAAGCATAGATTTTATTGGATATCGGAATACTAAGAAAAATTTTTATTACCGACTCTGGTATTCAATCAGTAAAATTAAAAAAATATTGAACTTTAGAAAGTAATTTATCAGAGAAAAATAAAATAAAGGAATCAACAGATAAAGTGCAAATATCACTAAAAAAATTATAATAATAATAACTAAAATAAAGGAATTTGATAAAATTTACCGCACAATAGACCCTTGTGGTTGTGGTGCATTAACCAACAAAAATAGATAAGGAAAAAAAATCATCAACAATATTGAGATTTCTTTATTCATAAACGATTATGTTAGTTATTCATTAAAAGAAGAAAATCATTAATTATACATAAAATAAAATTTATATTATTATAAATAAAAATAGATTTATTTTATTAAATTTAATTTATTTTACGAATTGCTAAAGAAATTTATTTATATTAAAAAAAAATTGTTGTGTTTTCACTTAGTATTTAAGTGATTCTTATGCTTTATTCAGTCAACAAACAAATTTCTTGATCATTTTTTTTTTTCAATTAAAAAATTTAACACTGGAATTCTATAAATAGAGATATATTTTCAAAAATTAACATCAGCTCTTGTGGTCAGAAAACAGTCCATCCTTTCTTACATTACTAAACAATTGAGTAAGTAAGTTCACAGCTATTCAGTAAATATTTATTCAAAAATTATGATATACTAAAACATATGATTTCTAAAACCCTGAAAAGCACATTGAAAATATTGAAAGTTATTGGCTATGGATATAACTGGAATAATGAGGTATTCGAAGATCTAGCTGCGATAAAATTAGTCTAAATTCATATCTTCGTCATCATTCTTTTTTTTATTTTTATCTTCTTCCTTCTTTGTCGATGATTCTCCAGAACCTTCCTGCTGGGATATGGTTGCAGATTGAAGAGCTTTTACAAACTCCTCCATATTTCCAGAGTTGGCAGCATTTACTGCTTCGGGACCCATTTCAAACTGTGACACTACAGGTCCAAGCTGCCCAGATTGAAAGGCTGTGCTGAACATTGACAATGCCTGAAAAAAAAAAAATTATATATACATACATAAAACTGAACTCCTTTTCATTGTAATACTACATAGCTAGTTTAATGTGCAAATAATACACTAATTAATAAAAATAAGAAAAAAATTTCATGTAATCAAAAAAGATAGTATTTTCTATATTCTGTTTGTAAATGCTGTCCTATTTTTAGATGAAATAAATGAAATGAAACTTATACTTGTTCAAGATGTAGCAAAAACTATTAACTTAAAGAGAATATCAAAGGATAATGAAAAAAATAAATGTCTTCAAAACGTAGACTGCACCGTGCATACATCATAGAACATTTACTTTCTAATTTGTGTGAAAAAAGATATTTCCGTATAAATAAAGACAAGTGAAAGTAAAATTTCTAGATAGCGAAATAAAATAATTAAAATGTATTTTTCCTACTTCTTTCATCAATTTTGAAAAATAAATTTGGCACCTAAGGTATGTGAGATTATTTCCATTAGGTTAGAGCTTACCTGACATTATAGACCATCAAATTTTGCATTCATATTTAAGTTCAACCAAAATCAGAGCCATTTGAGAAATATTAAGTGCTATTTCTGGTTGATTTTGGCGAAAAAATTTAAAAAAAAAACACTCAAGGCATATAATTATCTTGAACTACTAATTACCTTTCATACAACTATATTGTAATACTTCTCTAACTATATATTTGAAAATCAATTAGTAGAACTAAAAAAAATAAAGTAACTAAAAACCCAGTGGTATAGACATAAAAGTATGATGAGTTAACAATTTGCTACTAGTTCACAACAATTCTGCACGGATTACGCATGGTTCACAATCACTTCGGTCACACTTGTTCATGGAGTGCCGAATGCATTCGAGTTTATCTGAAAGAGAAAGAAGGCGACTGATCTCTTAAGTCAGTTACTATTAACTTTCCCGCCATTTAAATACTTCTATAACCTTAACCATGTTCAGTTATACAGTAGGAGCCGACACATTCGATAATTTAGGTCTGATACCTGAATCGAACTTGTACATATATTATAAAGCTGTGAAAAAGAAATAGTAATAGATAAAAACCTTTAATTATGGGTTGATGGTTGGGATGAACAGTCAGAAATAAAAAGGCAAAAATAAATAATAATATTTATTTTAACATTTGCCGACGTTTCGACCTGAAGTTCAGGGCTGTTCGAAGAGATAGATTGAATTAGTCATAAACCTTTAATTATTATATCTCTGGATGTTATTTCACGATATTATTTTTCTTATTATTGATTTTTCCATTATTCATTATTTCTGAATTATCAGATATTCTTCATCAGTTGTTTCCCCAACACATTAATTCCTTTCTCGAAAATAAACACGATTTTTTTTTTTCTTTATGAATAACAATAATCCCCATTTTCAGATTACCAAGCAAAATAACTGCAAATAACAATAATTACACAGCTAATTCATTCAATAAAAATAATAGTGATTAAAACGAAAAAATAAATTTTAAGTTAACAGTTAACTAACTGGCAGGTCTATGAGGCTCATTGGGATTGGACATTTTTGGACAAAATATTTATCTATATAACGATTAATAAATACATTTTATTTGTCGACGGGGTGGCCGAATGAGCTAACGCCTGTGCACAGCACCACCGTTGCCCGTCAACCTGATATATGACAAATGTTATAAAAACAGTCACGAGTTCGCGTCCCAGTGCCAAGGCGTCTTTTAAATCCCCGCCCACACCCCCTGGCCCGGGAAAATTCAGTAATGACGAGGAAGGGGAGGACCCAAAAAAAAAAAAGAATGATAAATTTCATTTATTAATATTGTACACTTTTCTCGCGCAATCTTTAATCTGACATTATTTTCATAAAAAGCGTCCTTGACAACTTAATGGTGGACTCTTATATCTAAGAAATCCAAAAATCTGCAAAAAAATCGACGAACAATTTTAAATCCGACAGTATATTTATAAAAAGCTCCGACGACTATAAAATAATGGATCCGTATAACTAAGAATTCAAAAAAAGTTATATAAACTTGATGCTTAATCTCAAATTAGACGGTATATGCATACAAAGCGCCCCTCCCCCACAAGAAAATAGTGGACCATAGTATTATTAGAAATCCAAAATGTTACATAAACTAGATAGGTTATTGAGAAATTCTAAACAAGGCTTGCTAAAATAAATTATAAATTTAATTATTCCAACTTCTATTGAAAACCTCGAATAACAAATAAAAATATAATAGATAACTTCAGATTATTTATTATCCAAATGATAAAAAGATCTTTTATACACAGTTATAAAAGGTAATATACAACAGTATATGTTTATTTTCAGCTACAACATGTGAGCATGTGTCAATAAAAATGTTATTTCTAAAAGCCTTTTTTTTTTAACAGGTCTCGAAAAACCGACTCAAACATTATTTTAGATATTTTTTTCTTTTTCTTTCACAGTAATAACCGTTATAATAAAAATTAATAATTAACAAATTAGTAAATACACTGTTCGTTAATGAATCGTTAATAAGGAAGTTCCATAAAGGGAATACTTTTTCTTCTTCTTCAAAAATGCATGAAAAGGGATTGTGTTATGGGGCAATAGTTGACGTCATAAAAGAAAACATTCGGCTGGTTTTCAGGATTCCATGAAAAAGTGTGACCGAAATGATTGTGAACCACATGTAATCCTTGCGGAATTCATATGAACAAGTATCAACAATTTTAAACAAAAACAAAATTTGGCAGAAAATAAAAACAGGAAACAACCATGATAAATGTCTGTCATAAAATTATTTAGTTTAAGGTTAGTGCGCACATAAAACGATATGTCCTGTCACTCTGCAATCCTTTTGTTTGTATCACTGTGAATTATCATACTGTGTGTGACTGTAATAGTGGGAGAGATAGTAACAAAACTATATTGCCAAACCGCCATGGTCAGCAATAGTATATCTGTATGCATGAACCTTTACCACTGCCCAATAACTTGAAAGAAATAATTTACAGGGTGTAATAAATACTACTGACTGGCTCATTGCAAGCTATTGACTGCTCATATAACAGAAAAGGAATATAAAAAAAATTTAAAACTGGGGAATCCGGTAGTTACTAAAAACAAACTGTTACAGTTTTAAAATTGGTATAAATAAATGTAAATTACTGGGCTAGATAGTAAACACATTAAAAATCAATCAATCTTAAATGAACTGATTTTTTTTAATTTGAGTTATAATTGGACTCAATGGAGGCAGGTGGATACAAGGCACATTTTGTTGGTAACAGGATTAATTGCTATTTAAAGCTTTAGATTCAACCTTCCTTTTATAGCAAGATTCAGATATCTGGACGAAGAATACCAACTTAAAACAGTACAATCATTAAAATTAAATTTAGATGAGAAACCAAAACAAAGTTGTGATAACTGAGAAAAAAAAAAAGATCATACTTGCTGAAACTGAGGAGATTGAAGAGTTGACTTCAATTGTTCTTGAGTAGTTGTATCGCCCCCGACTGATGGTAAATGTTTTTGTAATTCCTTGACAAATTCAGGATTATTTAGAACTGCCTGGAGGCTATCAGGGTTAACTGCAGCTGATAAGTCAACTGAAACAAATAATTTATAGTTAACTAAGAAACAAAGCTTCAATGACACTAATTTATTAGTTCATAAAACTTTTCATTATTTAACTACATATCAAAGCAATCTATATTCATCAATTTACCTGATAAACGAAAGCAGATATACCAAGCCTAATTGGCTGTATTTTTTGTATTTTATGGTTTGATAGTTTTTTTTTATTTTTTATAGAAAATAAAATTACCTTTCAAATTATTAATCACAATGCCCGTCATAACTTTTAAGACCATTACTATTTGTTAAGATGATTCAATAAAGTAGGAAATAAATAAAATTAAACTATGATTGTTTCTTAAACAAAACTTCAGTACAGCAAAAAAGCATAAAATAAGGCAATTTTAAAGGAAAAGTCACAACAATGTGTTTTCCATCAAAAACGTACTAATCGATAGAGCTATATAGGAACTAGAGTCTACAATAAAACATGTTTGGTGCTAAATCTATACAAATATCAGTCCAGTAGTCTCAGAGAAAAGATGGCAGGTAAAACTTGTCGATTACAAAGATTCATTAATCAAAATAATAAACGATAACATAGTGTAATAGCCAATAGCTAAAATGGATAATTTTTTTTTTTGATTTGTAGGGAATTTAATTAAATTACCAAGTAATAATTATTTGTTTTTCATATCTTTTTTTCTCTGGAAAATAAGTTCTTTCATGTTCATTCAAATGTAACCTTCAATGATTTTCAAGAAGTATCATGGGAGATATGGCATGCTGATATAAATATATATATATATTTAAAAAAAACCTTTCAGAAATACTATATATAAAGATATACAAAAATATATATTGCACTAAATTATAAACCAAATTTAATCAAATAAAAATTAAAATGCTGATGAAATATAAACCCCCATTGTAATATGTAAAAATAAATGTATTTTTTTTCAGAGGTTGCTGAATATGGCTAATTGTTAAAAGCACAAAAATACATGATTTAAAAATAAAATTAATAAAAATTGTGAAAAAGAAGATCAATGTCTTTCTATTATTCATACTTATATATAGTCATGACCAAGCTACATACAAAAAAAAAAAAAAAATTCTTAAAATAATGGAAGATAGATAATTTTCAATTTGATAATCATAATTGTAAAAAAACGAAAAATCTTGACCGCCATAAAACAGCTAAAAAGGATGATAAATGTTTTGAATAAATTTAATAACAAATAATGTATAATGAATCAATAAAAAAAAATTACTGTTTTGCTGTTGAGTGGAAGGCAGTCCGCCATCTTGTTTTATATTCTGAAGATAGCTTTGAAGTTGACTAAGCATAATAGGGTCTGGTTGAGATGTGCTACCAGTCGTACTTGATGAAGAAGAAGTTGCTCCTCCTCCATTTGTTGACTCTACAAAATAAGGTATAATACATTAACACAACAAACTAGGGGTAATTTAAATTAAATATACATATATCTCTCTGTTATATAAAAAAGTTATAAGCGATGACCAAGTAATACTTAATTTTAAATATACAAACCAGGATAGACCGTAATGAAGACACCATACTTCTTATTTCCAGAATTATTTATCTCTTATGCATACAAATAAGCAATAAGAATATAATTGTATAATATTAATTGGCAATAAGGTGCGATGAATAGTATAGATTTTTTAAGAAAGTAAAAATTTGTTCGAATTGTGGTTTTGTTCCGTTTATTTTATGTTGATAAAAAATAATACAATTTGAACTACAGAATACATGTAAATTACAGTTATACAATTTGGGCAACAAGTAGTATAATTAAATGAACAATTGAATGGGGGGTCGGTCAGCCATTGACGGACAGGAGGTACCATCACTTCCACTCCAGTATAACAAAAATGTAAATATCTTTTTTCTTTTTTGTTTTGTAGATTAATCCGATGAAATAAAAATTTTTTGAAGATTTTTTCATTCATTCAAATATAGTAAATACTTAAAAATAAACCAGTTTTATTCACTTCACTCATTGTTATAGGATATAATTCCTTCCTCACATTCAATACTATTTTTCCAACTTATGTCTTGAATAATAACCCCATCACATTCACATCGATTTTGGAAAACCCACATTTCACAGCCAATAGGTGTTTTTCGACTATCTAATCAATAAATAAGCTGGCTGCTTGTTTCTTCACTTATTTTACTTGACTATGATCGTGGCTGTGGGTATAAGGTCTGTCAATAGTATTCAAGAGGAAAACGAAATGGATGATTAACTGCTTTTTAAGAATTGTCTTTGGTACCTCCGGACGGTATCATATATCTAGCCTTGATAACAAATTAGTGTCTCTCCTCCTCCTCCATCCTGGGACAATATTTCCTTGGATCTTCTTCTTTTTTTTTTCTCCTCTTTCTTGTCTTTTGATCTATGCGTGGTTTTTCCTAGGGAGAGGGAGGGGAATTAATGCCAGAGTTAAGAGATCTCTCCCCCGGGCACTGGAATCCAAATTCATAATCTTTGGTTTATTAGATTGCTGGACAATACATATTTTGCACAAGCGTTGCAACGCTCCACTTTGAATTTTATCTGTATGGAAATATCAAGCTCTCTTCCAACATCTACAGTCTCTAACAATTAAATTTCTCAACCCACTCACAAAAATAAGATCCCATGTTTCTGACCTTCACTATCCCCCTTCTTATGGAACAAAAACATTAGGACATTCCTTTCTTCTGATGTGCTCTATAACCCCCTGCTCTCCAATATCATGCTTTTTTTCTATCATTCAAATTTCTTCTTTTCCAACTCCTCAATCTCAAAACATACACTCTAATCATGAAATATTGGTTAAGATTATTATTAGAAGTGAATAAGTATTTTAATGCTTAACTTTTAACAGTTTGTAATTAATTAATTGTTTTTATTTTATTCTTTTGTTCTTTTCTTTCTTTTCATGATATTTCTGTCCTGTTGTTTATACATTTTTACTAACAATAACTTATGTATTGATTGAATTTTATTTATGTAGTCTTATGGAAAAGTATTCATTAAAAAATAAAATGAGTATATAAAAATAAATACTAACTTTTGGGGGCTTGAGGTGTACTGAAAGGCTTCGTTGTATTGGCAGGTGAAGTTGGTGTTTTTGGTGTAGCAACCATTGGAGTACTCATAGGCGTAGTTGTTGCAGCGCTAAGAGATGATGATTTGGAGCTACCCCCTTGGCTAGAAAAATCAAACTATGTATTTTTATTTAAAATATCACACTTTTTAAATATGCAGGTAATAGGGCAAAATATAGTAAAATGATTTTAATTTTAAATACAAATTAATCTTTTAAAAATTTGCTATCAAGTTCATTTGAATTTTTCTTAATAAAGCTGTAAACATTTTTGTTAGATTTATTTCTCATATGTTACATACTTTAATATGAAGACGGGGAAGTCTCACAGATAAATAATAACTAGACGAAAGCACATTGAATAAGTAACTTCACGGAAATAAAATAAAATCACTGGGCACAGCTCATATCAACACCCGGAGAAGGGGAGGCTGATTGCGCTGATGCATGTGCACAGCACTGTGCATTGTCCAGCAACCTGAGTCAAAGATAATTAGAAAAAAATTATAACGAATTTGTGTCCCGGTGGGACTTTTAACTAGGCCATTAATGCTCCTGCCTTCACCTCCTGATCAGGGAAAACCCTGTATGTAAGCCTAAAAGGGGAGGACAAAAAAAAAAAAATCAAATCAAATCAACCTCTGAAAAGAGCATGTAACTAATAAAACTGAACATGCAACACATCACTTTTCTTTAATTTTTTCTCATGCTACTTTCAGTCCAGCAAAGATATCACATAGGATTGTAATAAGTTGAGTAATTTTAATTTGCAGGTATGTATTGTAGAGGTAACTATTAACGTCCTAGTTAAAAATCCAACTTTTTGACTTATCATCTTTGGGCATTTTCAGAAAAAAATTAAGAAATGGTTAAAAAAATAGTCCATTTTGTCAGAATTCGCTTCCAGTACATATCAGGCAAAAATGTTTTTTACCAAAAAAAAAAAAAAAAATTCAGCAAATTCAATAAATAGCGTATTGAGATATTCAGAATGTCTAATATGGTATGGGAACATTAAAATCTGTAAAATTAAAAAAAAAAACGCACATAGCTATATCAGTGTTTATAATATATAAGTGGTTTCGCTCCAAGAATTATTTTTGAGTGGAGTTCAGTACAAAATTCATAATAACCAATTTTGTAGGGCATTAAATTTTCTAGTAGATTCAATAGGCCCCAAGTTAGTAAAATGGTAGGATTTTATAATTTAGGTTGTATAGTTAGTTACAAATTGAAATATAGCAATGCTTAAAAAAGAAACAGCACAAGAAATTTTGGGAACAACTATTTTATAATAATGAAAATTAAAAGAATAGGGTGTAATAATAGCAGCATAGTTACTTCAATGTTCCAAGCAGATTAGATAGCCCACCAATTGATACACCACCAAACAACTGCATCAGCTGTTGCTGAGACATACTACTCAACAAATTCTGTAGATCACCATCTAAAATCAAAATCGGATCACATTTTTTAAAAGTTTTACGATGATAATTTATGCATGAAAGAATATTTAACCTGGTGTAGCTCCCCCACTGCGCTGAGATCCAAGAGGTGGATTGTTCAACACTTCATTAACTTTTCGGCAATTATCATCATCTTTATCAGTTTTCGCCTCCTAATGGATAACATGACATCATTAAAAAAGATCTAACTTAAAATAAATAAAATACAAGCATAGTGAGATAAGAGCAAATGAAATCAATTTAATTAAAAGTAATCATATTTTTAACGGGAACTTTAAGACTTTGACAGCAATAATACTAACAAACCATTAGCCCAGAGGCCTGGTTTAACTGCAGATCAGTATGAATCAAACAAAAAAGTCTCTTATGATTTTCTCTGAGAAAAATTTGTTTATATAGGAAACACTATCCCATTGATGCTAAGCCTTGTACCAGAGAAGATTTATCCGGTGTTTCTGATAAAGTATGGAAAAAAATGTTAAAGTAAAGAAAGTTTAGCATGATGATATTTACGATTATTTCAAAAGATGTGATACAACACAATGCTCTTTCCATCTTCAGTAGATTAGATAGTTTCCAAGATAAAAAATTTCCTAACTATTTATTTCGAGTCTTTCAGTCTGTGTCTAACGCAAATCTTTCTTCTGCCCTTTTAGCGGGCATAAGGTTAGCTGGTTCAGAGACTTAGTTTTTAGTCAGAGGTGATTACAGCGTAAGTATAATAAGTAGAATCTATGGTGGTCAAGCTTGTTCCAAGTCTAACCTACAATTGTCCTTTATTTTATAACAGAACCGATAAATAAATCTCGACATTTTCATTGCAGCTGGAATAGGATAATTTCCTGACCACTTTCCGTGCTTAAGTTGTCATATATAATAATCATATAAATAAAAATGAGTATAGAACTCAACAAACAAAAATTGAAACAGTAAACGTGCAAAAATAAATATTGGTTCTAACATGAATCCTTTAAAAAAAAAAAATGGTTAAACATTTACAACCGTATGTATAAACAATTATTTATATTCTTATAGTTCAGGATTTAAATAGAAAATGTAGATTTTAAATTAGCCTTCTATTTTGTTTTGTTGTTGCATTATTATATTGGTCTATATCATAGGTGGTTTGCTTTTGGGCGATATTCGTCAATCTTGCACTAGAATTAATTAATATTTAACTATTTATGTTACAATAATTTGAAAATTAATAGAATTCAAATGGAATATATGTTTATGGCTGTGTGTTCACATATAAATAAACACAGAAACAGAAAAATCTAAAAAAAGATTGTGGCCTCCATTATCACTACCTAACCTTAACATGGCCTCTAGAGATAAAAAAGTTCTCCATCTATGGTCTATAATGTTAACTTATAATTTATTACTGTATTTTTATCCCAATTATTTTATTTGATGAATTAGCTTCCTAGTTATTGTTATACGTAGTTATTTTGTTAAATAATCCAAAAATAGGGGCCAAGATTATAGCCAGTCGTAAACGAAAAAATTATATTCATTTGGATATTTATTTTCCAAGGAAGGAATGAACACAGTGGGTATAACTGATAAAGAATACCTGAAACATCATTCAATAACGTAATCATTGAAGATTTTTTATCAATTATTACATTTTTTAGCTGCTTAACACATATATAGGCTTTATTAGGATTACATAATGTAACCTAAATGTCATGTATAAGTTGGTTCATGCTGTATAACTACACACTGAGAAGAATATAAAACTACTTAGATAGCGAGGTAAGTTATTAGTTACTAATTCAAGAGATCAGTTGTGTCAGTACTTTTCAGATAGCAACAGAGGATTTATACAAGCTATTCACCAAAATGGTAAACATTAAGTAATACTGGAAGGCATTAAGTTTAAGCTATAAGCAGCTGAAGATGATGTAGATCAGGGGTCTCAAAACTACACCCCGCCAGCACTTTCAATCCGACCCGCAAAAGCTTCTTTGATTACATGATAAAATTTTAAAAACTATTTCATTACAGAAAATCATTCAAAAACAAGGTTACTAAAACATTTATTGCATAAGTCGTTTCTTGTAGAAAGCGCATATCACAAATGAAAATCATTTATAGAACAAACCTTTTTTTTAACCACAATCCATAGCTTGCAGGACTTATTGGAAGACTCAATGTGGCCCACAGATCATAGAAATGATAACTGTATAATAGATAATTGCGAACTTGAAGAAATAGGTGATATTACAATCAACCCAAAACTAAATGTAATAAAAGATTATCAAGAATTGAAAACATTGATGAAAACAACAATGAATATTTTTTAATACTGCGAACTTTGTACATATTAATTATAAAATGAAAACAAAATTAATACTAAAAGAAGTAAATAAAAGATCAATGGTTTCTTCAAAACAATTAGCATGTCAATTGCGGTCAATGAAGGTGTGCATTGTCATGTTCTAATACATAAGCTATTCTACATTTTGATTGGCCTAACACTCATTACTTCAGTTATTATGTAAGAAATAACGCTTATGTTTCCTAAATTTATAAATCATTTATTTTGTTAAATCAGAAATTTAATTAATTCAGACAACCTAGAGTACCAATTAGTCCTCACTTAATGAGGTCCTATTGCACCTAAAAAAGTTTGTAATCAATTCTTATCTTAGTTACAATAGCAAAATTAACAGCCCTAGAGATACACTTACCAAAATATACATAACTTACTTGTATCCAAAAAAAGAATTTTCTGCTGGATGTCTTGAATTTTAAGATAAAAACTCGTCCAGTAGTACATTGAGGAACTTTCTTAAATTCAACATCATCAGGAAAAATAATCAAATCCTGAAACATCATAAGCCCAATTTCATTTAATGATAAAGGATGGCGAAATTTCATCCACAACCTAAAGACTCACGTCTTCAACAACTCCAGTTGTTCTATCCTTCCAACAAAAATGCATAAGAGAATCTTCAGATTGGTAAATATATACAAGCCCCTTCCTTTTGTCAGGATGAACCATTTTCCCTTTCATGGTCATTTTACCTGCCTTAAATTCCACTAAATTCTTATTTTGGCTTCTCGAGGAAGAATTGGAGAATAATGCTGTTCCACCTGGCATTATAAAGCTTTTAATCAGAACGCAACAAAACTTAGCAAGCGAACGATCTTTAACCTCTCTCTTATCCTAACTGCAATGCCATCTAAAGATTTAGAATGAACATGATGTGGCATAAATTGATATAAAAAACCAGCGTTGCCATTGATCTTTTTTCGTCGTTACCTGAAACATTGTTTTAAAACTAGTTATTATTTTTTTAGCAAAGTGTATAATTATTAGCTTACATTTATTAATTAATAAATCAAACATTTGCACTTTGGTATATTGATTCTAGATTGAAACTTTCCGTGTGAATTCCCCCCAACCTCATTTCTTCTCAATGTTTAGATTATTGCTGTTATTATAGGGTAGCGATAGTGATCATTCCACTTTAGTTCATTAATAATCGTGAATGAAAAAAAGTAAAGCTTCATTGCCGCCATGAATAGTCATGTTAACTTAATTTGGTGGATCTACCGAAACAAACATTTACCCTTAAATCACACAAAATGTAAATGTAGCAGTCCGAATGCTGTTATTTGGCAATGCATATCGTCTCTTGTTAAACTTGAAAACAAAAAATAATAATGGAATTCGTCTCTCTTGTTTTACTTCTGCAGATGGATTGTCAAACAACAGTAGGGGTGAATCCATGACCTCCTCCGGGAAAGAAACTGGTATTCTAGCAATGGATTTCAGTATGTCTGATTTCAAAGATTCGGCATTTTATAGGAAGGCAAACTGATGCTATTTCCATCTATTAATGCATCTGAAGTTTCCAATTCATCCTCAATCGAGCGAACAGTTGTTGGGATTGAATACTGCATTGAATTATAATAAAACTAGTGTGAGCACTCTTGACGATTCATCATTATCCCACACGTTGTGACTCCAGTCTTAAATATTTAGGTTTTTTACAGGACGATACTTGTGTTGTGAATTTGAGAATCGGAATATAAAGTTTCCCACAAATTTTCATACTTCGAACTGTTATTGTTTATTTAAACACTTCGCTGCACAATAGACAATACGAGTTTTACAATATTGGGATGTTACAAACGCCGGATATCATCTCACATCTGTATTAAAAATGAGTAACAATTTAGCAATAAACTGTCCACACAGCTTAAATATTGAAATGTTAATGCTCTTCTAATTCTTATTTATTTTATTTTATTTTTTGGGTCCTCGCCTTTAAGCCTATACGGATTTTTTCCGGGCCAGGGAGTGAGGCCGGGCATTAAAAAAGGCTCGAACTCGTGACTATGTTTTTCTAGTAATCTTATGTACCAGGTTGCAGGGCAACGGCGGTGCAGTGTCAGGATCGACTATTATGTTTCCGGGTAGCTTATTATGAAAATACGGTCGAATTTGAGATTGCGCCCCCTTCCACCCTCCCACATCGACTTTTTGTAACTTTTCAGATATAATCGATATCAGGGTCGACTATTATGTTTCGGGGTAGCTTATTATAAAAATACAATAGATTTTGCGATTGCGCCTCCCTCCCTCGACTTTTTGTAACTTTTAGGATTTAATCGATATCCGGATCGACTGTTATGTTTTCGGGAGCACTTTTTATAAAAATAATGTCACATCTGAGATTGCGCCCCTCCCCCCCACACTCCCGCATCGACTTTTTGTAATGTTTCGGATTTAATCGATATCAGAGTCGAGTAATATGTTTTCAGGGGCTTTTTTTATGAAAATACTTTGAAAAAGATACCCCGAAAACATAAAAGGCCACCTGGATATCGATTAAATAAGAAAAGTTACTAAAAGTCGATGGGGGGGGAGGGGTAGAAACGGAGGGCGCGCAATCTTAAATTCAACAGTATTTTCATAATAGTCGAAACTGATATCGATTATATCTGAAAAGTTACAAAAATCGATGTGGGAGGGTAGAAGGGGCGCAATCCCAAAATCGATAGTATTTTTATATTAAGCTACCTCGGAAACATAATAGCCGAACCGGATATCGATTAAATCCGAAAAGTTACTAAAAGTCGATAGGGGGGAGGGAAACGCGCAATCTCAAATTCGACCGTATTTTCATAATAAGCTACCCCGAAAACATAATAGTCGACTCTGATATCGCTTAAATCCGAAAGGTTAAAAAAGTCGATGCTGGAGTGCGATGGGGGGGGGAGAGCGCAATCTCAAATTCGTCAGTATTTTCATGATAAGCTACCACGAAAACATAAAAGTCGACCCTGTTATCGATTAAACCCGAAAAGTTAAAAAAGTCGATGCTGGAGGGTGGGAGAGGTGCAATCTCAAATTTGACATCATTTTTATAATAAGCGCCCCCGAAAACATAATACTCGACCATGATATCGATTAAATCCGAAAAGTTACAAAAAGTCGTTGCTGGAGGGCGTAGGGAGGGGGGTAGCGCAATCTCAAATTCAGCAGTATTTTCATAAAAAGATACCTGGAAAACATGGTGCATATTGGTAAATTTTTTACGTTATTTCAGAACAATGTTATTTCTGAAATATTTATTTCTTGATTTTTTTTGCAATAATTTATTTATGAAATAAATAATTCTGAAATAATAGTTATGAAATCATTTATTTCAGAAATAACTCATTTCGAAATAATTTACTTTACTCCAAAGAATGTTAAAATATTGAAATAATTATTTCAGAAATAAATTCAGCAGTTATTTCATCGAGATTATTTCATTGACAGTTTGGAATGTTAGTTCTAATTCAGTGTCATTTGGGTTCTGCTTTACCCTTGGTCTGCAATAATTTTATGGATGAGCTATGATGGTTACTTTTTTTTTATTTATTTTTAAATTTTGGATGCTAGCTGCAAATATCCAGACATTACAAAATATTTGATCATGCACCAAGGTCTTGGTAACTACAATTCTTCATGTCCCCTCATCGCTACACCTTTTCTAATCAGGTTGATAATTTTAATGAAATTTGCCTTAAACAGTACAATATAAAAGTATGAAAAAAATAACAACAAATGTGAATATTGAAATGTGAATATGACCAAAGAAGAACTTATAATTTAGTTTTAACTCACACTGAGAGCCATTATACTTCAATGAGTCCAATATTTGTGTTAATAAAATGTTATTTTAAAAAAACATTATGGTAAATTAATAAAAGTAATAATTCTAGTAGTGTGATCTTTCATATTTGTACCTAAATATAGTGGTGATTGACGTTCATAAATAAACCCAGATGTTAATGTAATAGGGATTTTTTAATTAATTATAAAGCCATTTATAAAAAGAGGAAGTGCAATTATCTAATTTACAGTTTTATCCTTATCTACTATAATAAATAAAAAAGGCAATTTTAAATTAAGTTAAAAAAAACATTTTAATTTTATTTTGTAAATAACAAATATAATTATTACTGAAGACTGCCAATTCATCAACTTATGATTTTATTGAAGAAAAGGATGGTTGGGGGTATTCAGTCAAATTGAAATGATAAAATTATTTTGATGTAGAGATGGTTGTCCGTTGATATAATATGAGAAGGAGTTGACCGCACCCCCCTCCTCCCCCGATCAACTCCTCAGATAAAATTATTTATTTTTTATCATTTCAATTTGACTGAACACCCCAACCATCCTCTTCAATTATTCACTACTGTAAACCATAAACCCACAATTATGATTTTATTGATTCATTTATGATTTAATTGTTATTATTTATATGAAATAAGTCTTAGTTTGTAATAGCGGTCCTATCCCAATCTGAGGTGTATTAAAACACAAACTGTGAACTATGCAATAAACCTATAGATGTAACACCAACACCAGCATATACAATGATTTGAGACATCAAAGCAAGAACAGTAATATTTGTTTACATTAATTTTACACTTTATATAATATATATGGAGTGGGGATTAAACACATATAAATTAATTATGAATAAATAGAATTTGTATTCAATAAAGTGTTTTAATTATAATTGTGGATTGATGGTTGACTGTAGTGAATAATTGAAGAGAAGTTGGTTGGTATGTTTGGTAAAAAAAAAAATTCCCAATTAAAAACAAAACAAAAGGTATTTATAACGTCATAAATGATATTATAACAGCAAATATAAAAATAAATATGATTTATTTATTTTTAATTTGTTTGTTTTTTTACTGAGCACCTCAACCAACTTCTCTTCAATGTTTTAATTATAATTTTGTATTACAATTTTCCATTTTATTGTTCCAATTAAAAACATAAAGTTAGTTATCCATAGTTTTCTTTATATTTTAAGGATTATTTTCTAGTTATTAGAAATTTTTAAGTAACATATTTATCATTGTTCAACAAAGCAATTTTCTTAGTGTTCAAGATTTCTCTGATGGATTGTGGATTTTGGATGATTAAAGAGCTTTTCATCATAAGCAGGAATATTGTGAACGACGAGCAAGTATCCTTTTTGTTTTCTATAACAAACAGAGAAGATCAGTATAAAATTAAAAAGAAACATGAATTTTGTTATATCTTCAAAATTATATAAATTAATTAATCAGTTTTGCTCTTTTAGAAGACCTAGTTTGTAATTTGAAAAAGAATTAGTAACAGTACAATATCTATACAATAACAGTACCATACCTATAATTCATTATTAAGTTTTTATGTATATGAATTAACTTATATACTTGTATTGTTTAGTAAGTAAATATTATATTATATCATATATTATAAATGAGAAAATGTAGTGTGATGTAAGAGATTTTTTTTTCTTAAAAGTTACTATCCTAAAATTTGTAATTTTGTAAAATATATAATAAATAAACATTTCTAAAAGTTGTATGCGTTACAACCCAAATTTACCACTAAATAAATAAAATTTAAACTTCAGATTGTTTGTTTTCCTACATTCCTTTCCTTTGATTCAAAAAGAAAAATAATAGAAGTAAATAACGATAAATTAAGTGATGAGGATATAAATAAAGTCAAATAATATTTATATTTATTATTATTTACATTATTACTACTCCCTCTATCCTTAATTTACTTGTATTGATTATTTTTGTTATTTATACTATATACATTTATATATCTGATTTAATTTCATCCTACTGTGACAAATTGTAATATTTCTGAATAAAGTGTTTTAATAATAAAAAAAAAAAAAAAAAAAATTTCATCCTTGATAAAGACCCAAAAGTTTGTATTGTGAATTGTATTTGCAATAAAATAATGGTTGAATCTTGATAATTTGTTCCATGATGTATAATACCACAGTCACTCAACTATGATAAAAATATTATATAGCATTGAGAATTAGCACAACATAATTTTCAAAAAAACATTTTTAAAATGTTCAGATTTCAACTATCAAAAGATTTTAAATGAAAGCCAGTGTCAAAATTTAAAAGAACAACATCGAATAAGAAAACTAAGAATGAATTATTTCTTATGAACATGAATACTTTTATAGATAGAAACTTGTGGAAACTTACCTTCAACATTTGAAAAAAAAAATAGCCAACAGTTTTTCATTGAATTAGACGTATATTCAGATGATATAAATCTGTAGTTAATAATAAATACAGAAATGAGCATCAGTGTTGGATTATATAGAAAGGGGCAACCTTCTCTCACTCCCTGCACTTTAGAGAAATATATTTGTTTGTTTACGTCTATTATGGTTTACTATATATTTAAAAATATTTAACACAACTATTAAATATCTGTATTTATAAACACAGTTCACTGTTGATACCTCTAGATTCATTCAAAACTTCACCCAAGAATGAATTATTCCTTACGAAGATGAATAATTTGATAGATAGAAACTTGTGCTAACTTACCTTAAACATTCTAAAAAAAAAATTAGCATACTGTTTAACTTTGAATTACATATACATTTAAATGATATAAATCTGTAGTTAATACATACAGAAATTAGCATCACTGTTTATTATAAAGGTATAATGGGGTGAACTAAAAACAACTCTTCACAGAAACACATTTATTTCTATTCTTCTGTTATGTTTTAACACATGTATAAAAATACATAACAAAATTACTACATATCCATAATATTTATAAACACAGTCCACTGCAGAAGTCACTAGATGCATTCAAAACTCCACTTCACTCACTCCCTACACTTTAGAGAAATATATCTATTATGGTTTATCATATATTTAAAAATACTTAACACAACTAGGTAGGAAACAGTCCATAGAATTTATTATAGGCAATTTTAACTTATTAACATATTATGATAGGTTGTGGAGGTCTATCGCGTTAAGAATTAAATTAATAAACATTTGATCAATATAACAAGGCGAGAGCGACAATTTTAGTGATTGTTTAAAAGTTTAAACGAATTTTGATAGTTGAATTTGAATAATAGTTTTAAAACCCAATAAAAGAGAGTAGCACCATTCAATAAACAAATAAAATGAAATTTTAGTTATAAAAACCGCTAAAAGAGGTCAGCACTATACAGGGAACCTAAATTGAAAAATAGTTCAAAAAGTGCCGCTAGGTAGCAGCACTATCCAAGAAGCCACTGTAGGAAAAATGAAACTCGACAGTAGTTCTTAAAACTACCGCAAGAGGCCAGCACCGTCCAATAAAGAAGAAATCGTAGTTCTAGGAGCTGTCGCTAGATAGTAGCACTACAAAGACTCCTGGTTGCCTAGAAAAGTGAGCTCCTTCAACTTCCTACTATCCTAATACAAATCGACGAGTTTCTGGCTAGACAGTTTCTAATACAAATCCGAATAAAATTCGTAGTTCCTGTGTTATGCTAACAGATAGCAGCACTATCGGTATCAGGACCGCCTCGAACAGTGAGCTCCTGTTATGTCCTGTGCTCCGAATACAAAATAAAGATTTTCAACTCGGAATCGGAATTTCTCGTGTCGGACGGTTCTGGAACTCGTTTTTTTTTTTTTTTCGCCTTTAATCGTGCCTCGAAATTGACCAGAATATTTAAAAATAATTCCTTTTTGTCCTTATTTTATCATAAATTTTCAAATTTTCACTATTTATAAATTTTATGGTATAGAACTTATTTTTCATACCCCGAATTGATCGAAATATTTCACAAATGTTTGGAAAATTCAAAATAATGACAAATCTTCATAATTTGTGTTATTTTCACCCTTGATCACATAAAATGTTTATTAAACATTACTTCGGGAATAGCTTCATCCCACCGTAACCTACAACTATTGTATTTATGAAAACCCTTGAAATTTGGACGTTTTCAATCTGGAGATCGGCAAACTTTGTCTATTTTAGTTAGGCACTAAAAACTTGTAAATACCCATTTGTTTTCCCACTTGGATCGTAAGATAATTTGAATACAAAATCGAGAAAAAAGGTGGCCTAGAAAAATATTAGGCCGTTTGGCCTATATAACCTTGTTATTTTGACATTTAGGAGTTGTAGTTCAAGCCAAACAGCTCAACAGTTTTTTTGTTATCGCGTTTATTCGTTTTCGAAATTGATCAGGAAATTTAAAATTAATTCCCTTTTGTTCTTACTTCACCCTAAATCTTCAAATTTTCTGGTATAGAACTTATTTTTCATGCCGCGAATTGATCGAAATATTTCAGAATTGTTTGGTTCTGATATTATGGTTGATATTGGTATGTTATTATGGTTCTGGGAACAGTTTTTTATTTTTATTTTTATTGTTTATTTATAATCGAAATTGACCACAATATTTAAAATACGTTAAAAAATAACTCCTTTGTTCACCCTAAATCTTCAAGTATTCACCATTTAATAGATTTTATAGTATAAAACTCCTTTATTTTATGCTGGGAATTGATCAAAATATTTTAGATTTGTTCGAAAAATTTAAAATGCTTCATCTTTTTTTTTCATTTCATCCCAAAATAAAAAAAAAATTACAAATCTTCCTAATAATTGTTATTTTCATCCTTTATTAAATAACATTTTTCTTTCCCTATAATATCTATATATTTATCATGTTACACTGTATTTATACATGTTGTGAATCAATCAAAATATTTTAGAATTGCTCAAAAAATTTAAAACAATTCCTCGTTTTTCTTATTTCTTTCAAATATCAGAATAATCTTCTAATTAGGTATTATTTTCAAAATTTTTTAAATTAATACTCTTTTTCCCTCATATCAATTTTTTATATTTAAGTATAATGCTGAAAATTGATCAAAATATTTTTTTGCTTTTTTCTATTCTGTCCAATATTCAATATTCAAATATAAGAAAAATAATGACAGACCTCCCAAATTAGACGTTATTTTTAGTATTTATTAAATTGATACTTTTCTTATACTATCTAATGTATTACTTGGATTAACTAATATTTTTTATATAGTATATTCATTTTGTTTTCACATCATCTTAAATCTTGTTCTGTAAAAAGGATGATTCTGAACAATACACTACTTTAAAAAAACATATTCAAGGAAAGTGATGTTTTTCCCATTCTTATATGAGAGAATCAGAAGTTATAATTCCCTATTTACAAATTAATAGCTCGTCCTGAAACTAAAATTTGATGAATTCACTTCCTTATATATTTTTTTTAGTATATATAGCATACTCAGTCACTATGCTTAATTTATTTTATTTAAATTACTAATTAAGGATTATATCCTTGTTAACTGAGTAAGTTATGGAGAACAATTAAAAAGAGGAAGGAATAGAGGGTTAAGAGAATTCTTCAGGATTTAAAGAAGAAAAATAGAATAATTAACTTTTTGTTTAAATACATTTATTTGAAAAAAAAAAAAAAATACATTGGATCTTGTAGTTCCTGTACAGAAGCATTCTGGTGTGAGTATAAGAGCAAAAATAAAAAGGAAATGGTTCCAATATTTGGTAGAATAAAAAAAATCTACACAGAATTAATAAATTCTCCATTTCTATTGAATGATCTTCATTACAAATGTAATTTTTTTTTATCTTATATTATGATAAAATAATTACAATTATTCATGAAACTATTATTTAATGTAACATATTCTAGTTAAAATAAAAAACAATATTGCAGCATCAAGACTCACTCTTTATTCAATAATGATCTTTGACCTATAAACATATTTTTATTATCAACACTATAATAACATTACATATAACTTTGAAAAATATGAATAATACACACGAAATAAATCTTTCAATAAAATTAATAAGAGTAGAAGTAATCTTCAGTCATGTTAATGGTTGATCAAGATCTCTTTTAACTCAAATCCAAGGCCATTTCTTGGACGAGTCCATTGGAATAACCATAAAGCTTGTTGTGAAACCTTTGTATGTGTTCAGTGACGGTTTGCATGTGTAAATCGTTGTGGAGAATTTTCTGGATGTGTTTTTTTAGAAATTCCTATATATTTGTGAAGCGTACGTCCAAATTGGTTTTAGTACCTAAGTGTAAGTGTTAAGTTTTCGTCTTAGGTCTAGTTTTGAGTGATGTTCCAGAAGAGAATATAATAGTCAAATAGTTGATTTAGTGTCTTTCACTTAGTGGTGATGTGTGAGCCCCTGTCATCCTTCTGTCAAATGTAAGACCTAGGTAGTGTACTTTTTCAGATTGGAGGATATGTTCATTGTCAAGATAGACAGGAGGGCAGTTCTTGCGTTGGAATGAAAACGGTATGTGTTGTGATTTAGTTTTATTTAGCAAAGTTTGTACCAGTCGTGTAGGATCTATAGGTGATTTTGTAGAGTATATGATGCATGTGTGAGGTCATCGTTTCTTGAGATAATAGAAGTGTCATCAGCATAGGTGGATATCAAACTGTCACTGGAGAGGGGTATGTCATGTGTGTATATTATGTAAAGCAGTGGTGCAAGAATTGATCTCTGGGACGTTCCGGCCAGAATTGGTCTAATAAATAATAATTGAAAATTCTGACCTTTCCTTCTCACTTGGATGTCAGGACTTTTGATACATTCACATCCTGAACAAGTTTCTGAAAGAATTACTTAGGTCCCTGCTCATGCACCCTATACCTCATTCCTTGACTGAAGTGTGATAGGGAAGAATTAATTTTGATTCAAAATAGTAGACCAAAATGTGTGTAAATTACAATTCGTGACTTTGGTTTGAAAAGGTTCTCACTAACAAACAGATTTGATCAAATTGAGTTTTCATTTAGAAATCACTTACAACAGTTATCTATGTTCCAACTGAACTATAGTGCCATCAATTAAAGAATAAAGAAACTAGCAGTGTGACATAGTTCTGACTGCTCACAATTACATAAAGTAATTGGTTTGAGAAAGCTTTAACTGCAATATGCTATGTGGAACTTTATTTATAGTTATTTTAATCTAAATTAAACATGAAATTAAATCAGTTATATTATTAGTAAATATCTGTTCTCTGTGTATAACACATTTGAATCGGTTATTTCAGAAACGATATATATTTAAACTATATCTTACTAAAATTCTAGAAGATAAAAAAATATATAGTGTAAACAAACAAATTTTCCGTTTTTGTTTGTTTCTTCATAACTCTTTTCTCTGAAAGTTTACTTAATATTTTGCATCTGAAGAAGATAATCTTCAAAATGATGACTCCATCACTGGATTAAATGAAAAATTAATAATGTAAAGTGCACAAAAAACAAAACAAACACTTTTGATAAATAATATATAAAGATTTTCTTTGTATTGAATAAAATAAGTTTATCCTTTTAACAGAATGTGTGTCACGTAGTCTTGAATCTATTTGAGAATGAAATTAAAATATTACTTTTAACTATCATCAAACAAGTATATTGTTAATAAGTCTTCTTATTAAATAATGAAAACAATTAAATAAAAGTCTTTTAAAGACACTGATATGATTCGATGTATCATATATTTTTGGTTTATCAAGCTTGAAATGAATTTTAAAAGTTTCCATCACAGGCAACAGGCACTTGAGAAATATTCAAAGCTTAGGAAGTTGGTAGGAAAACAAAATATTGCCTGTAATTTTACATAATTACTAACTATACAACTTATTGAACTTTTAGAGGGTTATTATTAATTTAATGGCTGCAAAGTATTGGAAAGGCTCGATACCCTTCTTAAATTATTGCGGAGCAAAAAGTACATTGCCCTTCCTTTTTTTTAAAGCTGAGAATGACCATTTTTTCTGGAAATGAAATTAGTTTTGAAGTACAATTGTGCAATATGTTAATTAATTGTGTAACGGTAGCAAATGTTTTGATGTTAATTTAAAGAAGTCCAAATTCAGCTGATATTATTATCCAGGTACTATGAATCAGGATTGAAATAAGCACAAATAATATTTTTAAGTACACTAGCCGTTTAATAAAAGAAATAAGTTTTAGAAATAAAACCTAAATATATTACATCAGAAGTGTTATTTATATGCTTTTTTTTATTTCATAAATTAACCTAAGGAAATAAATAATATTTCAACAAATAATAGAGAACATTCAATATTTTTATAGTTATCAATAATTTATTATAAACAGCAATATAATATAATATAGTAAATATAGAATATATAAAAAAAAATACATGTTATTTAATAAATTTAAAAATCTGATTTAGATAAATTATTTTATTGTTTTTTATTCCATTCATATAAATTTTAATTTGCTGATAAATGGTTTTAAGGGTAACTGTAAAAAATGAAATAATAATGCTATATTTTTTATATTGGAGTAGATAAATACACTTACACACCAAAATATTGCATGCATGAAAGTGCAATCATGTTTCAATAGGGATGATAAATATTTTGAAAATAAAAATAATTATGACTAACATAAAATTTTAACACAGCAACATATTACATACTAACGATGCCAGTGTAATTATTAAACTAGATAGAATACTTCAATATCTCATACAAAATATAATAACATCTTATAGCTCGGATAATAAACATAGCCGTGTAAGCCCAAAATTGACTTAAAATTATATTAATTAATCAGAGATAATTTCATTAATCACTGATCAGCCTTTTTTTTTTCTTTTTAATTAATATATTTTAGAGCTCACTAAAAGTTGTGTATAACACTAAAAAAAGCATGGAAAAAAAAAATTGACAAAACAATGAAACAAGCGAAAATTGTAAGGTGATTTACAAACTTATAAATTTTACATTTTTGCAAAATTTATACATGCAGAAAGGCATGCCAATTTAGTGACAGTAGCATGAAAGAATCTGGATGGAAACATCGTAGGAAAATTATAGAAAAGAATGTTAATTTTAAGATGGGCGTTCTTCATTGATAGTCGGGGTTGTAACTGGGCTCTTGATCTTTCTGTCCATATCACGTTCAACATCCCTCAGCGCATCGTCAAAGCTCTGCATAGAACTTGAACGAGACGTAGATACTTTAGTCTGCACACAAAATTAAAAAACAAAACATTGAAAACTAGCAACTCGCATTCTTGGAGAAAAGGTTATCAATATAAGCATTAGGAAATATTGGATTGGGAAACTTATGACAATTAAAATTAATAATATTTAATTATAACCACAAAAATAAAAATTTTAAGATAATAACTGCCATGTCATAACTGCTCTTATGTAGTTAATTATTCAGATTAATCTTTTAAAATAATTCATTAATTTATTTTATATACATTCATAGATATATTATTTTCACAAACCTGAAAAATGGGAATTTAAATTTAGTTGTTTATCAAAAATAAGTAGAAACTTCAGTAAACGTTTGATGTTAAATTTACTATTGATAATTAACCTAATTGATCTATAAAAAAACCTGCCATGATGATGCTCATTATAATTATACTGGGTATCCCGTAAATAACGAGAAATATTTAAATGGGTGATAGCAAACTTTAAGAGCTACAAAAAAGTTTATATAAATAATAGTCTGATATACGGCAGAAAAGTAAGAAATTTGAATTTTGTGTTTTTAAAGTATGTCACGGTTTTTGTTGAATAGAAAATGATAGATACAAAAAATACCAATTTAAGTAATTACCAATTACTAAACAGTAAACTAGACAAAATTTACTTCAATTGAAAATGGAGTTTGTTATTATTAAATCCATATAAAGAGGACTTTTGAATGGATAGATTAAGCTAAGTCCTGTTTTAAAAAAAATCATAAATTATTCGAGATTTTATTTTTTCACCATACAACTCAACTACAGTTACCCCAATTTCAGAAAACTTCTTTGTTTGCTTAAAGTTCGTATTAATCAAGTTGAGGTTTGTTATGGAATAAGTTGACTACTAGTTAAGTAAAAAAAAAAAAAAACTTATTTCATATTCAGTCATCCCAAAAGTATATTTTTAGCCAAAATATCCACAATAATTTATTTTTAACAGCTTTTATTTCTAAAATCTGGTATGTATTGCAGTAAATTAATCACAAAAATACGCCTTTAAGTTATTGTCTCATTACGTAAGGGATATCCTGTATATATCTATCATATGTAGAGGATAGTCTAGATTATTGTGTATAAATGTACACAAGATAATATAAATTTATTCTTTTAAAATCAATTAGTTTATTCAATAAAATTATATTAATGACAGGTAGAAAAATAAGCGAACTTATAATAAATTATGTACTGCAATGAAATATTTAACAAAATTTAAATTTATTTTTTAACATGAAAACTAAAAAATAAAAACTTATAATGCTCAGTCTATTTTAGTATTAAAAAAAGCCAATAGGTTTAAAAGTAGACATGAGAATAGAAAAACATTACAAATAACTTTAAATCACTATTATTTTATATACTTTAAATATGGTAAAATTTTAGTTTTGTTTTTTAATTCAAAACGTAAAATAAGAAAGGGTTTAATTGCATCCATAAGACAAAAATCAGAAACCTATTAGAAAGGAAGTATATAAGTATCACAATCCGATATATTATCCAAATCCCATTTTTAAAATTAGAAATAATAAGAAAAATTTACATTTTGTTATAAATTAACTAAACATATTCATTATATATAATTATTTTGGGAAGTAAAATAGGTCATAAAACATCAAAGGATTTTTAGAGGTATCTTTGTTAACCAACAGCAGAGTAGACAGCAAACTAACCAAAAAAAAAAATCATGCATAATTCCAAGTTTATCAGTTGAATTTTTAATTTATCCAGGAATAAAAAGTTCTAGTTAGTAATTTAGGATCAGTATTTGTATTAACAACAAAATAATAGAATAAAACAGACATGTTGTGATGAAAACACTTAAAAATTTAATATTACTTGAAATTTCTTTTTTATTTGTAAAAAAACTACGATTAAAATCCTAACTTGAATAATTGATGTATCAATTTTTAAATGTGTATATAAAGAATTCTGCAATTATTTTTACAATAAATTATGCATAAAATTGTTTATGCATTAGATCTGATTATTGTAAAATGATAAAGCAATATTTTTTATTAATTGGAGAAGTATATAAATGTATATATTTAAGAAAACAAAATTAAACCATTAAATTTATAAATTTATTATTCAAGTTTCATATAAAATTGCTCTGACGTTTGATATAGTAATTGATAAAATCACTTCTGGAGTTCAAAATGTATATGTTGGTACATTTCTTCTTCTTAATTTCTGCAAAAATAAAAATTAACTGTGTTACATTACTACTGAAGTTAAATATGAAATAGCTTTAATTAGAAATAACATTAATTCCAATATTTCATTTAGAACTTCAAAATGGTTCCATTTTAAGGGTATAACTTTGATCACTGGAAAATATTTTGAAATAAAAAATTAAAACCAGAGTTTCTTCAAGTGAACATGTCTCTAGTAAACATTTGTGAAAAACTAGTAAATATTAATGAAAAAGGTTCCAATGGTTCCATTAAAGTACTGACCAATATTGTCAGTATTTTATTAATTGCCACAAATTCATTAAATAATGAAATTAAGGCAATTAAAAAAATATTTTTGTGGAAAACAAAAAACTTTTTTTCTACTAGTTACATCAATTAATAGCTGAGGCTGTAGCTTGTGAGCCCATGCACCCTATTTTGGAGAGGTAGTGGGGAAACTTCAATACAATCTCAAGAATACATCTATAACAATAATAAGGCTTAGCGAACCCGAAGGTTCGATGCCGACACCACCAATCGCTTGTTACACACCTCCCTCCACCGTTCGCCGTCCAAACCCAGTCCCTTCAGATCGGCTTTAATGCAATCTTCCCACCTTCGCTTCGGTCTACCCCTCGGACGCTTACCATTCGGCACAGCAAATATTAACCTTTTAGGAATTCACTCGTTACTAAGCCCAACAACTTTACAAGCCCATTTGATTCGCCGCGATGAAATCACCTCAATTATATTACCCGGATACAGCTCACGCAATTCGGCGTTGTGTAACCGTCTGAACTCTCCGGTTAACTCAACCTTCTTCGGTCCGAATATTCTACGCAATACTTTATTTTCAAAAACCCTAAGACGCTGCTCATCCCTTAATGTAAGCGGCCAAGTTTCGCATCCATAAAGAACTGTAGGCAAGATAATTGTTTTATAGATTCTAATTTTTAAGTTCCGGAACAAGAGGCGCGAACTAAGTAGTTTTGTCATAGAAAAATAACAAGCATTCCCCGCCTTCAGTCTAACCTTAATCTCTTCTTCAATTTCGTTTTTTCTAGTTATCGTAGAACCTAGATACCTAAATTTATCTACCTGTTCAAACATATTACCATCTATATCGATATCACCAGTAGTATCGCCATTTTTGCAGCTAACCATATATTTTGTTTTATCCACATTTATTTCGAGTCCTAGTTCTTTACCGGCTTTCATTAACGTTGTCGTATTTAGTTTTATAGTTTCAACGTCTTCGCTTAACAGTACCAGATCATCAGCATAGCCCAGCACGGATGTTGTCCCGCCCAGATCCAACCCTTTCTCGGTTCGCATTACCTCCCTAATGGCATGTTCTAACGCCAAATTGAACAGAACAGGCGAAAGAGAATCCCCCTGTTTTAAGCCCGAACGAACCTCAAATTTTTCGGACAAATTATTACCGATTCTAACTTTATTGAGTGTCTCCGTCAAGCACATCCTGACTAGATTTACTAGTTTTTTTGGAATCCCCTGCTCGATTAGAATATTATACAGTTTCTGGCGGTCAATAGAATCGTAAGCCTTTTTAAAATCTATATACAGCTGGTGAACAATACCGTTATACTCCAATTTTTTCTCTAATATTTGCCGTAAAGAAAATATTTGATCAATAGTTGAACGATTCCGTCTAAATCCGCATTGGTAGTCTCCGATAATTTCCTCGGCGTATTCCGTGATTCGACTGGTTAATATTAAAGTGAATATTTTATAACAAACCGGAAGGAGTGAAATTCCTCGATAGTTATTACAATCCGTCCTCGGACCCTTTTTGTGAATCGGAATAAGAATAGATTCTTTCCATTCTTCAGATAATTTCTCGTTCACCCAGATCTTTTTAACCAACCGATGTATTTTAGAAACTCCAGCTTCCCCGCATGCCTTAATTAGTTCAGTAGGAATATTATCGGTTCCCGCTGCTTTATAAGATTTTAATTTTCCGATAGCTAATTGTACATCTGTACAATTAGATTGTACAAGAATACATCTGCAAAATATTATTCTAATTAAGAAAACAATTATACCAGTATGACTAATCTGGTTTTTGTGCTCTTTGAGGTATGGCAAATATCACTAATTGCAGAGGTGAGGGTTGAAATAGGACAATTGGGTGTGTTCAATTGACAATCTATGAAACAAATGACATTAATTTATTAAGCAATTGTAATAATCCTCTGGTAGCTCAGTAGACTGGAGAACTAACGACAGACCAACAATTAGACGATGAGCTGAGATGTGAGAAAAAAATGGGAAGAAATATCTATAACATCCTCATAGTATGCATATATTAATGATTTTACAAAATAAATTTTTCTGTAACTCATATATATTACTATAACTAATAACACTTTAACACATTGGCACAGACAGGTTATTTACCATTCATTCAAAATCTGTGCTGACTGCTTAGCATGATAGAACATTAAGCATTTAAAACTGCATGAATATCCCTATTGTTTTTGGCTGTCAAAAAAAAACTTAAAATTTCTTTACATATTTATAATAAAGTTTTTACGAGATGGTAAACTATCATTCTCGAAATTCGGAGAGAGTATAAAATATATCTTTGGAGAAAAATGTGTAATAGACTTGGTTAAAAAAGATTGCTCATTAAAACCTATTCATTTTTTAAACAATTTTTCACTCCTGAAATAAACTGACTCTAAAGAGGCGAAATTTTTTAAAATGAAAAAGTGTATTAAATATTTTTGGATAAGAAAGCGACAATTCTTCCTATACTATAAAGTTCTAAAGTTTCTTTAAATAATTATAATCAGAACTAGTACCGATTTGCAAGAATTCAAACAAGTGTTGCTTTTCACTGTTAAACAATAAATGAATTCATTTATGACAATGTTAAATATTTTATTTTGGAAATTAATATAATACTATAAACTTATACCTCATATACACCGTAATAATAACAAACCTTAACGTTTTCATATGCACTTCCCATCCGTTCCTCAAAAGAGCGGAAAGATTCTGAATTTTTTAGTTGGCCAATTTTACTTGAGATTCCAGATCCTAGTCCTCCTAGAATAGAGGATGTTTTTTCTGTTGTCGCTTTAATCACAGACTCTGTTTTCTGGTATCTAGAAAACACAGACAAAAACAAAATAGTTTAATTTGGATATAAATATATATGCTGAAAAAAATAAATAAAAAATAACATTAGTTGAAAAAATTATAAATACTTCAAGATTACACCACATGCAATGGTTATTTCCCAATAGATGAATAAAATTCATTTACCACTAGGACCAAATGAGAAAAATAAATGGATTAGTGGTTTAGTAAGGTAGCATTGCTGTCATTTATAAGTAACAACGGTTACAAAGTATGGTGTAAATACATATCATAATTGAAACATTAATAAAGGTATCAAAACGCAAACATGACAAGTGAAATAAAAACAGAATATTTTACATTTATTTGATTACTTAATAATACATTAGTTCTAATAAAGGGTGATCCAATTTGAGTTTCATAACTTTAATTAAAAAAAAAAAAAAATGTAATATCTTAATTATATTTATATTAATCGAATATTTAGTATAATTCATTAAATATCAAAAATGACGTCAGCCAACAACTGGTTTGGATTCTACAGCAGCAGTATTTTTATGCTGATTTCAAAGAAAACTTTCTTCTCTGATGAAACCCACTTCCAAACTTCTGGGTATGCTAATGAACAAAATTGCGGCATTTTGTTAAGGAAACTCCTTCCGTGATAAACGAGATACCATTGCATGCATGAAAAGTTACTTTGTGGTTTGCATTTTAGTTAGGAGGCATACTTGGGCATTACTTTTTTGAAAGCAATGAAGGTCAGACAGAGACAGTCAATTGTGAGGGCTATAGGCACATGATAACCAATTATTTTTGGGACTAAATAGAGGATATTGATAAGGAAGACATGTGGTTTCAGCAAGATGGCTCAATATGACACACATCGTGGGCAACATTAAATATTTCTTGTGAAATGTTCAGAGGTCGCAATATTTCAAATCACGGTAACATCAACTGGCCAGGAACAGAGTTACTGGTAAGGGACAATATTAACCGTGAAAATTTTCGAATCTGAGTTTTCAACGGAAATACATGTTTTGAGGTCTCCTGAGTCCAAATAACCAAGTCCTGCAACATGCAATTTGAAACTATTGGATTTCTTTTTGTAGGATTTTCTTAAGAGTCGTGTCTATATCAACAAACCTGCAACATTTGAGCATCTAAAAACTAACATCCGCCAAGTTATAGCCGGGATAACTTATACAACTTGTGAAAAAGTCATCGAAATTTAATCGAATGAATCAATTGCCGCAGAATGTCCAGAGGCGGCCATTTTTCATATTTTGGCGTACATAATTTTTCATACTTAATAATTTATATCAAATATTTAATTAATAAAAATCATAACTAAGATAATACTTACTTTTTGTGTTTTTTGTTAAAATTTAAGTTAGTAAACTCAACTTGGATCATTATTTAGCTCAATGAATGAATCATCTAAATTGAATAACATATAATAGACAATAATTAACAAAATAATATTTCGTTGACCACAATTAACATGTTTCGCAACTTAGATTCCAAAATGAATCAAAGCATAAACCTCCACCTCAAATAAAAACTATTAAAACCAGTCAATTTCAAAGCCTCTAAATTACACATACCTCACCAAACGGATGTATACCCCATCACCCCACCCAAGCATTTGAAACTATGTTATAAAGAAAGAAAATAAATATTAGCAGCAATAATTGTAAAAGCAAAGCAGTTGACACAAGAAATGAAAGAATATCTCACAAGTATTATCAGAATTCAATGAGCCATGAGTGCTACAAGAAACTATTACTTCCCATAGAAACGTTTTATTCCCATTGATATTCTCCAACAGGGCTTTAATGGCTAATTTTCATTATTACCTTCCTCTAAAGTACCTTTAATTTTTTTAATTTGAAATAATTAACCATAAAATATGAAAGAATTTGATAATTAACTAAGGAGAAATAAGAGATCGTAACAGATAATAGTTGTAATGGAGAAACCAAAGGAATATGAGTGCACCCGAAAGATCAGAACAGGCTTCCATACGTAATATGAGCTGAATATAATACGGACTTTGACAATATTATGTACGTATGCATAAGCTGTTTTCATAAATGCTGTTGTTGGTATTATTTAATACTTAATTGTACAGATTACAGCGATATTAAAAATAAAATTTGTTGTATATATAAGGATAATGAAACAAATGAAAATACCCACAATGAAATTTCAACAAATATAGTGTCTATAAGAGGGTGGTAAGTGAAAGTCGTGTGATGCTCGCAGCAGATTTTTTTAGTTAAATTATGCCATCACTCTTTTATAAAAAGAAATAAAAGCTTTAAAATTGAATGAAATAAACAAAAAGCAAGTGTTATTTTGAAAAGAAAAAGTATTTCATGTAGCACTCAATATGGAAAGTTTCCTCTACACCTGAGGTGAAAAAGAGAGTAAAAATATCCACAGTACCATATATTCATCACAAATAACAATAAAATATCTCCCTCTCCCTCTTAATACCACATGCTAAAAATGAACATGCTGAATAAAGTAGAATTGATAATCCGACGGAGGATAGAACTTACATAGGTGCTTCACTAACTGCCTTCCCAATCTGACCAACCTTTTCTTCCACAACCTGGTAACTACCACCAATTAAAAAAAAAAAATTATATACAAAATATAAAGTATAGAAAATGAAAAAAAAAAAAAAAATATAGAAAGAAAAATAAAGATTATATCATTTTCATGCCCAATTTTATAAAACCTATGATTGTCAATAGAGCAATTAAAACTTTATAATCAATAAATTCTATACAACAAACAATTTTATCTATTAATATTTTAATGTAAATAAAGTTCTTTTTTAGATCACAGATATGTCTGAAATTATTCAACAAGATCAAAACCAGTTTACAACCATTAAAATGTGAAAAATATAAGATGAGATTGGTATGTTTGTTAACTTCGAATTAAACACCATTGTGTTCCCCAACAATGGCAGGAACAAAGGATTCTTCTTGAGTTTACCAACCTATTCTGCCCAGAGATCAATATTTGTTTGGGTGGATCCACCACTAGATAAATTTTGACTCGCCCACGTACTCAAACTGGCGATGCATTCATTAAGAACAATTAAGTGTTTTATTGAGAATTGTAGCTTATATAAAATTGGATCTGAAAATGAGAAATGTTGCGGTTTCGTTTTTTAAATTATAATAATAATAAAAAAACAACATAAAAAATGGAGAAGGTACTAATGAATGTAAAATTAAAACCTTGAATAAAAATAATTGAAATTTACGTTAACAATATACGATTATATAAGAATTATATAATAGAATCTCAAATTAATCTAAGGAGTATGGATTATTTTTAATTTAGTTATTTTAAGATGGTCAATTAGTTACTTTTTGTGTTGTAGAATTACTGATTAAAATGTTACAGAAGTTTAGAAAACAGGAGTACCTCTATCATGCTAGCAAGTATTTAAAGCTGGTATCCAAGCTATTGAATGCTACCTCTTATTCTGTTTACATGTTAAAATTTACTTACTACTACTACTGTTAAAATTTACAACGTAAATAAATCATAAATAAAATAATAATTGGATGTTGATGTGTAGCTAACAATTGAGAAATACAACTGACATTAATACCGAAAGTGAATATTTTTAGTTGATATGATGAGCTAACAAGGTATTAGCTTTCCAGAGGAGTCAGTATGGCCCATGGGCGAAAAAGTATTGAGCTAAGGAGACATTGCTTTTTTTATAGTACAAAAATGTTTCTATTGAACTAGATATCATCATCTACATTACCAAATGAAACTTATTGAAATATCAGCTTACTAAATGTAATAAAAAAATGTTTTCATAAAAGCATATTACACTGACGTATCAGTTCATAGAAGAGAATCATATTTGTTAAGCAATTAAAGTGAAAACTCGAAAAAGAAAATAAAAAGAGAGATTCCTGCACTATCGTTGCTCTCACTTGCTCAAAACTTTTAGACGAACAACTAGGAAATAACACTGTATTATTATAATTGTTTATTCATTTTTGTTAAATGATTAATTACATGAAAATGTACGTGTACTACAATGAACTTTTTTTTCTTTTTACAACTTTCTGAGAAATAACTTTTAATAGTCGAACAGTAACGAAACAAATATAAAAAAAAAATTATGTTAGAGCAGTTAAGTGATTATTAGAGGACGGAATCAAAATAACATAATTCAGTGCACACACCAATCAGAACTTTTCATATCAAGTATTTGATATGAAAAACAAAACAGGCATAACAAGAATTAGGTACAAACGAAACATCAATACCTCAGATTAATTAGTAAAAAAAAAAAAAAAAAGTGCAGTCAATTTATTTTCCAGGATAAATTAAACTCACCTTACACTATCTAGACAGTCATTTTTAGAGACACATTCAACTGGTAGGGGAATACTCAAAACCAAAAAAAAAGTTGCCCCACAACCAATTAATATTGGGTGCTAAGTATGGTGCTTGATCAGTATCCCATTAGCGCCCAGGCTCCCCAATCAAAAGAGACTAAGGGTGCCCCGGGAGGGTCTCCTGGCATCAGTCTATCCACAGCTGATTGAACAGAAAATAAGTTATAGCCCGACTTAGACCTACTCCTACAAGTTGGGTGTTCAATTCCTCAATGTCTGAGTTACCCAACACCATAATTATTCAAATGAATGTTGAGAACAGATGAATAAACATAAATTTATCGTAAAAAAAAATACTTCCAACAAAATAAAGTTATACACTTATCTTTGAAAAAGTTATTGATTATTAACATAATTAATAACTTTTTTTTAAAATGAATAACTCTGTAAATAAAAATCTGAAATCCTAAGCTATAAGTGTTTCTTTATTATCATTTATCAGGAATAAAAATAACCAACCCAGAAAAACAAAGACAAAAACAAAGTGAAATTTGATTAAGTGTCTGTTTTTCTTTAATATAAATTTATTTAATAAATAGTTCAATATAGCTGATAGGATAAATAAAGCATTTTTTTTTTATTGTTTATAGAATCAAGCACTCCATAATGCCCTCCAAATTTAATTACGTCTTAATAAAACAACTACCATGATACCGAATTCCACATGGTATGATCTAGAAGATTAATCCACTAAGAGTATATAATGTTATCTAGAATTTACACGTTTAATTTAGTGTAAGGTGCATTATCAACAAATATATCGGTTATTACAAATATTGTTGACAATATATTAAATAGCAAAGAAAGCTGGGCTGGCAGAGGGGGCAGCGATAAATAAAATAAGAAACACTATTTTGTGGTGTGCAGATGTTTCAGCTTAAGTTTTAGGGCTTCAAGTATATTGTTCGAATACAATAGAAATATCAAAGACATTTAACAGGACCAGGCATGTATAGGAAAGTGAATGTTTATGATGTGTTACACCAACTTATATTATAACTAAGGCAGTTGAGCTGAAAGCATTTTTTTCAATCAGCAGAGCAGAACAGAGAAACAAATGGGCTAGAACTCATTATTCCTCTACTTTCTGTTTATTTTAGAAATCTAAGTTGGATCCCAGATCAATGTTGATATTATTTAAAGGATGCCATCTTCTATATTAAATCTTGCTTTATTGACTTTCCAGTAATAATGGTCTAAATGGATTTGGTCGATTTTTCTCCTGAATAAGAGCCCTTTATTTTTTATGACATCAAGAAATAATGAAGCATCTTTCACTCTATGACTTTTTTAAATAACATCTGAAGCAACAGAAGTAGAAGTAATTCTGGCACATAAAATTAGCTTCTGTGATCTGAAAAAACCCATAATGCCCTCCAGATTTAATTACATCTTAATAAAACAACCACCATGATTCCATTTGGAATTCTGTATCATATATAGAAGGTTAATCCACTAAGAGAATATAATGTCATCTAGAATTTACACGTTTAATTTAGTGTAACACACTTTCAACAATCTAGTGTATAAAGATTTATTAAGGTTATTTGCTTGCTGTAAAAAAATATAGATTAAGCTATCCTTTCTAAGATGCCATATATAATCAGTGCCATAAATGAAGTGATGAACACAGCTAATGGGCAGTAAGTAGAGCAATAACCACACAAAAAAGTTATCGGGTACTTTTTTACAGAGAGTATATTGCAAACCATAGCTCCCATCCAGTCATAACCATTAATTTTTTGTTCCTCCATTGGCTTACAATACCAGTGACACGGCTGGGAGAGAAACACTGGGATCTCCTGGAGTCCACATTTGGGGGACAAAGCTTGATTCAGAGTCCCCTCGGCCAATGTAAATATTTTACATAGGTGTGAATGTGGTTTATTTATTTTATTATCATTTGGCTTTTATCTGCTAAATATATATATATATATATTTTTCCCACTTAGGTTATTTATATTTATTATACTTTGTTATGTACATATTGTGTGAATGAATACTATAGCCCTAGTACCAATGCCCTTCAGTGTGACAGATTGTATTAATACACAATAAACAAAAATTTTCTGTTAAAAGAAAATAAATTCATCTTTTGATAGGATTTCAATAAGAGCCCTTTAGAATAGGAATCACCACTGTCCTCAAAGCTAGGGGATAACATGACCCTAATCAATCTATTCCTTATGATAGTGTACACAAGTATTTTTTTTTTTTATTAAACTAAATATACTGACACATTAGATTCCTTCACATTTTTAATCCCTTGGCTCATATCGTCCTGAAATTCTCTCCAAACGCTGAACCCTAGCTTACGCTTCAGTTCATGGGATACTTTTACTTTTGAAGCAAGAACATGCCTCAAAGTTTGTATTTCTTCTTCAACCTGCAACAAAACATTTTAATTTATGTAATAAACGTATTTATACTCCTTCCTTCATTTTTAATAAATAAAGTTGTTATTGAAAAAATAATCTCTATTCAAATAAAAACCAGTACATTATTGTATGCAATTAGACTGTTAACAAGCTTAAATTGCTAGAAATAATAGCAACTAATTTGTGATGCTCATTTAGTAATGCAAAAACAGCTTAAATGTTACAAATAAAATATTTTCGATTTATTGTAAAAAGTCACTGAAATACAATTTTGATATAGGTTAACTTTCAATCACGTTTTTGTGAATTTTGATCTTATTTATCTTTACAAAAACACCGTAAATGCATGAAAATGATAAAAATCCTTTTATCAATTACATATAGTTACACTAAGTGCAACATGTTCTGATTTCTCAAAGGGAAAATTGATCAAATTTCTAAATTATTTGAAGTCATGGAATGACATTTTGTAAAAAACTGACGATATGTACAGTTAATCAAGTGCACAAACTGAAAATTTTCATTAAATAAATTGGGATTAACACAAGACAGGTCAATTAGATCAAATAGAACTTTATTTAATCAACAATAATATATTTTAAAAACTAGGTTTGTTTTGCTATAATTTATCAAGATTTACTCATTTTTAACACTTACAACAGTATGATAGGTTACAATAAAAACATGATAAAAAAAGGAAATGTGATGGAAGTAATATATTGAAAATTGAGGTAGTGTACTGTGAATGGAGTTTTTGATAACTATTTTTCATGAATATATTCATTATAATTACATTGTTCATCAAATGAAGACTGGGTGTTAATAACGGACTGAGTGCCAAACCAGAAAAATTGAGTAGGCAAGCTAAATATAGTTACCAATAGCCTAAAATGTGGGTTAAATGCTATAATCATTAATTTTATTATGTTCCAATTTCAGCTTTTATAATAGTTAGCTGGCCTAAAATTGTCTTACTCAATTTTTTTTTTGTAGAGCAAGAATAAATATAATTAATAAATGTAACACATAAACAAAAATACACCAATAAATTTAATAGTTTTACGAAATGCCAGTAATAATAAAAGGCAAACATGGTAGTAATTGATTCTAATAATGGATTTACATACATAGATAAAGCTAAAAATTAATTCAACATTCCATGAATAGAAAGATGTTCAAATAGATAACAGATAATCTTACATTACTTTTCCCTTCTATATAAACACAATAACTAAATGATGAAATGAAAGTGAAAAATACCTATTTGGGGCAGTACCTTCCAAACAATTTTTATGTGCATTTTACGTTGGCCAGGGCAGTGTGAAAATAACTGCATGGTAAACATTAACCAATAAGTACTTACCAATATAGTAGTAAAAATTCTGACAAGATGAGAATAAGTTGATTGAAATGGAAGGGATTTGAACAAGGAGATTGTTGCTGTTTAACATATTGCAAACAGCATAGAACTTCAGAATGAGGCATCTCAGGTTAGGAGGGACTTGTCAAACTCAGCAGTTCTGCGGGGAAGAGGGTGAAAGTAAGAAGGTTAGGAGCTAGTAGGCTGCAATACTTGACTTATAGGCTTTGTAGGATGAGCGAGAAGCATTAGGAAGGAAGAATGCTATGAAATACTGACATGTCAGATAGGTACAGCCATTTTAACTAGGTGTAATACTGAGTCATATGGGCATCTGTTGTACTGGGTACCAACAACATAGATAACCCTGGTTCACAGTAATAAAAACTTGGAATGCTATTATTGAATTTAGGCCAAAAATTACTCAATTGTTGCAACTTATTTCATTTAAAAAATGTAATTTATATTTGAATTTAAATTAACATATCTTATAAAAAAGAAATAGTTTATCGAAATAAGATAAACAGGATACTTGGTTAATAAAGATAAAAAAAGGTAAATAAAAAAAAAAAAAGGTACAGTGAAAAAGGTAAATAAAATGCGAATTCAGTACTAGTTCATGATCAAACTCCATCTTTGATCACACTTGTACATGGAATGGCGGAAATAGCAGTTCGTCCAAATGACTAGGGAGGCGACCTAAGCCTAGTTACCCATGATTCAAAAAGGCATAATTATCGCTCATGACCTTCATTTTTTCTGACTAATAAGTGTAGATAATAGTGTGAACTGAATTATGTTTATTAATCATAATGATAAGGATATATAGCATGCTGATAATCAAATATAAAAATAAAAACAATTTTTATGTTTCTGGCCGAAGATAATAATAACCACAACAATAAATACAAATAACAATAATTTACAAGCCAGGAATCTAAATATATTAAATTTATTTAGAAACAAGTTAAACAGATCTATTTCGTAAGAATTCAGGAATAGTGCAAATTTAATTTAATTAAATAATGAAATATAACCTAACCCAAGTATTTTAATATTAAAGAATAAAATGTAACTTAACAGAAAACTTCAATATGGAAGAGTAAAAAGTAACTTTTAAGAATGGAACATAAACATTGGTGTAATTGCAAAATGGTATTATCATTCACACTTGGCTATTTCCAGCACTCGATGTACAAGTGTGATCGAATTGATTTAGCCATCTTTCCCTAGGGTATAAAATTATACTAACTTTTACGAGTTCGTCAGCCCATTCTTTTTTTTGTCTTTCTTGTTCTTCAGGACTCAAGCCAGCAAGTTCATTAATACCTGAATCTGGGGACATATCACCGTGTGGTTTTTCTATAAACAAAAATTATCAATTATATAAATGATTATATTAATAATATAATATATTTCATACAGTGGGCTAAAAAATTATTCGTACACCTCGTTTTTTGGCAGATATCAATTACAAAATTTATTTTGCGATAATTTTATATAATGCCAAAATTTAAAATCTGATACAACTTTTATAACATTAATATTTCAATAACTTATACACAAAAAAGGATTCATACACTACAGCATATATTAATGATACAATAATTTATGTTATTAAAACAGGGGTTTAAAGTTCTGTTTATAATCCGGTATTCTGGAGGATTAAAGGATAAAACTGCACAAGAAATTGCATGTTTAGTTCAGTTATAAATATTCAGAAATAAATATTTCTTCGGGAATAGGTTGTAGGTCTAAAGAATTGAGTTCTCATCTTGAAGATGACATTGAAAAACATTTTTAACAGTGTTTAAGTTTGCAGTATATTAGAAAAAAGTTCAGACTACCTGATACGACAGTGAAATACATTATAAAAAAATTTAAATCAAGATCAGTGAACAATAAATCTCCTGCACAGGGAGAAAACCATTGTTGACAGTGCGAGAATCTCGTGAAATTGTGCTTAAAGTGGCAAAAAATCCCAAATTAAGTCCTCGAGAGATTTCTGCTGTTCACATCGCATCAGATTATAGAAAATCTGAAATACCACAAACCACGAGGAATCGGCTACATAAAGCTGGCTATAGAGGTAGAGCGGTAAGTAAAAAACCTTTTATAAATGAAATAAACAGAAAAAAAGATTGGAGTTTATCCGAGAACATGTAAATAAACCCAACACATTTTAGGAAAATGTGTTTTCGGATGAAAGAAAGTAAAATATATTAGGATCTGACGGAAAAAATGTGACGTGAACTAGCCTTTATTGAAGGGATTATGAATGCTGACAAATATTTGGGCGTGTTGCGATGCAATTTAAATAAAAGTGTGTGAAAGTTAGGAATGAAGAATACATATGGTTCGGCAGGACAACGATTCAAACCAAACAATGATTTCTGTATAATGTTAAAAAAATTCTCAAAACGACCCCACAATCACCAGATCTTAATATAATTGATAATTTATGGGTGTTTCTGAAATTACAAATCTGAAAATCTTCTTATTCCTATTGGAATGACTCAATAAAAAATCATAAAAAAGCTCGGGAAGAAATTGGACCAGATACCCAGAGGCCCGTGGAACCGTTTTGCCAAGGAGACTCAATACTGTGATAAATGCGAAAGGGTATCCTACAAAATATTAAAATTAATTGAGATTGATATTTATTATACTTTCTTTGTTAAAGTTAAATGTACGAATATTTTTTGACCTTCATATTTGAAAATTTAGATATTTTTCATACAATATGAGTTATAAAATTTTACTTTTTTGTACAATTAATACAAAATGAAGTTTCTAATTGTTATCTATAGTTACTTTCTGTCGAAAACATAGATAAAAAGATTTGTGGCTAAAACATATGGTGTACGAATACTTTTTTTGTCCACTGTATCTATTTAATATATATCAAATTATTCAGAATTTTACTAGTATACGAAATTAGTGTTTGACTAGTTGCCAAACATTTGAATTAGTTAATCAGTAGAACATGGAAGAAGTTTTAAAATACAAAAGAAAACATGCACATCTCTTAACAATTGATTAACATCTTGGAGAACAAGTAAACGTGGAGACAAATTTGGATCATTATTTTGATTTATTTACTCAAATAAATATGCAAACTTAATCAGTTCACTACTTCAATGCTTTGATTACAGGGTTGATACAATTACCAAATAATGTTTCATTAGAATATTATTTTTTGATTCATGTATTTTGTAAGGACAAATTTATGGGAACATGGAAAATATCAAATAATTACTAATGAAACAATTTTAATCAGCAATATTAATAAATGTCAGATAAACATATGGAGGAGCCACATTAATATTAAATAAAGGGATATGAAACTTAAATTTTAAGAAGTAATTGTAAAACACATGCACAAACCTCCATTAACCAATTGTAAGAATTTTGTATAGTTTTTTTGACTTGTAATTTTTGCAAGATAAGGTTTGGACAAATCTTGAAATTTTACACGGACAGCTTTAATAAACTTATTCTTTCCAAGTTTTTTGTTATAAAATTCAGTTTCAACAGTACACTGCTCTGGTAAATCTAAAGGAGGCGGATCAAATTCTTCTTCATCTACAAGAACAAACATTGAACCATTTTCTTCATCCCAGTCACTCTCTTCAATATCGAAACTAGGAGTTTCAGATTTCGAGACTAAGGCATAGAAACAATCTTCTTCATATTCGAGTGAAGTAAAATCTTCTATGTCGTCTTCATTCAATCTGATATTGTCCTGTAGAGCATTGGACATATTGTTTACTACAATTCTTTCTATGATAGAAGGGAAACCACAACCATTTCAACTATAATTTTTTATCACAAGATAATCCTTAACTAACAAACCAAGAAAACATAATAGTCCAAGTGATAAATAAATCCATTATTTAAGAAAACATTTTAAACACTAAAACATTTGAGTATCATTTTTAACAAACAATATATCACAGCACTAAGTTAAAAAAAAATATGACAAAATATTTAAAAAATATGTAGAGGAACTGTACCCTCCATGCTGAAGGAGAAAAGTAACTGCTACAGTTGAGAGCAGATTTGCTGAGGTGTAAAGCTGGAGAAAGGTCTCTACCCCCACCCACAGGCTCAAGTTTTTATTTTAGTTGGTCATGCCCATCATCTGTTCTTTCTCTTTGTTTTTTCCTTTTCTTTTAAGAAGTACTTAATATTAACAAGAAAGAAAAAAAAATACCATAATAATAACCTCAATAAAGATGAGCATTGTTATTGAATAATAGAACAAAAATGAAATATTTTGTAATTTTAGAGTAAATGAAGAACAAATAAACAGAAAAGTACAAAAATTGAATCACATCACATAAATAAAAAAAGTCAGGAAACTGTTAAAAATAGAGAGAGAGAGAGAGAGAGAGAAAGAAGTATAAAGCATCATAAGATAAATGGAACATAACAGTACATTGCCCTACATAATAGGAACAGATTGAACTAGAGAACTAGAAAATTGTATTTTTTTTCCCAAAGTTAACATACAATTCCATTTTTATAATTCAAAATTATACCTACAGTTCATAAAATAAATAGAAAATACTTGAGATCTAGGCAATATATTTAGAAATATAACATTAGATTTAATTAATCAATGTCACTAATTAAAAAGACAGATTAAGCTGATTTTATTAAAAAATAATAATTTTAAATGCCAAACGAACTATTATTTATCCACACTAAAAACTAAAATTATTGTTAACATAACAATATATCATGAGTTACCATATACATCAACATTCTCTAGATCTATTCAGATATAATGACTGTATAAATAGATCTGTCCAAATTTATTTAATTTTCAGTTTTAAACATATGACCATTTTGAGAATACTATTGGTATGAACAAATTAAATACTAAACAATATGTGTGTATTAAACTTAACACTTGAATAAACAATAGTGTTTGTACTTTACTGTAAAACAAATTTGAATTAAAATACAACCATGAAGAAACATCGCTAAAAAATTAAATTAATTAATTAAATACCTATGAATAAGGTACATAAATAAAATTCATGATTATATATTGTAAATTGGAGGCAATGAAATAAAAATAAATCTTATTGCAAAGTGAAGTTACCTATTAATACTGCTTGAACATTCATAAGCAATGATGAATAGAAGGAGAAAAAAATGGGTACATGAATAAATATATATGTGATTAATATAATTAAGTTTTAATTTCTTCAACTACTTGGTAAAATAAAGTTTAAATTCATAGAATTATTAAAGATAGCTAAATAATAAAAATCTTCACTACCTTCGTTATTAAGGAAGGAAAATTATTTGAACAATTCTTATAGATGGAAAGAATTTAATTTCAATATCAATAATCTTAATTTATGTAACTGTTAAAATGTTTCACTCTGATATTACTTTCAATTATTTATAAAAATAAAATTCCTTTAACTAATAAAAAAATCAATATAGAGATAGCAATGTACTAAGCCTTAAATATAACCAAGAGGATTCTTGTATGGTGAAACTCAGTATTACTTTCTATTTGTGAATAATTGGTAAAAAAAGTTATGATGTAATTTGATGTTTTCAGATTGGCAATAAAATTGATAATGACTTTCTGAATAGATCAAAACACAGGGTAGTTTTCATGAACTACACAAAAAACAGGAGAAATTAGTATCAAGCAATTATAACACCTACGCAATGTTTTAGAATTAGACCATTGTCACAAAATTAAACTTCTATGTTAAGTTAATTAAATCAAGCCAAGAAAAAATAAATACACAATAAAATAAAACTGGTCAATGGAACATTCTTAGAAAATTTAAAATTCTTGAACAGTACTTTTAATTCTGATATTAAAACATCAGGGTCAATAAAGAGAACACATACCATTCAATTCAAAAACAAACACCCAAGAGATTAGCCAAAAATAACCATACAACTTAAATCAATAGCAACAATAGAGAACCCAAGGTCAAAAATCATTGAAAACATTAATTTCCAATACCAATACAGTGTCATATAAGAAGATTCTTTGTTATCAAATGCTGTATAAATAATGAAGCCTATTTAATTCGGTTACCATGAAAACTTAGCCCTGAATATTTTCTGAACATTAAGAATCTTAACACATTGACTATTAATACTCACTGTATTGAATAAATGAATACCATATATTCAAAATTAGTATCAAATAACTTAGAACTATTCTTAATACTAGATAAAAGTTAAAGCAGGTTAAATCCTACCGGCAAATACGTAAAATTATCAAGCAAACCAACCTGGTGAAAGCTCGCTCATTTTTAGGCTTAATAGAAAAATAAATTAAAAGTTTTCAATTCTCTCTTTAATTCTCTCCAATTCTCCTACAAGAAATAAAAAACAACAAGTTAATAAGAAAACCAAATTATTTTGCCATTCAGCAGTGTACTTCAACGTGACAACACAACAATGATCGGGATTTGACATATCACTTAAATGAATCATCGTTCTCACCTAATCCTCCATTAATTGTGTTGAATATTCTCAAAAAAATACATAGATATTCAATATAATAATCATACTGATACTATCCAACTCACTTTTAATGACATCTACAAAATAAAAGAATTATGAAATCAAATTATCATGTTAGCATTGAAAAACGGCAAAAGTTCAAAATAAACTAATCTCAAGATCTCATTGGCCCAAAAATGTGGGAAGCTTCTAGAGTCCGTTGTGTTTGAATGTTTATGTGTAGACAATAAATAAATACCGTAGTAAGAGTCGGATAGATTTATAATTACGAAAAAAAAGAAATGTAGTGTTGGATCTCTTTCTTCTGTGTGGGAAGGGAGTTTCGCGTTGCCGGCATTTCGTTTGATTCCGAAGAAATAGAACAGGTGTCAGAAATCTTGTTCTTGGCTTTATTCAAAATGTTTAAAACTAATTAAAATAGTTTTTACTCTCTAAGAAATTTACAAAGATTATTCATTGTTACGTATTATTCTGTAGACCTTGGGAAATATAGAAGCTGTATCAAAGGTAGGCTTTATATTTTAGAACTAACCATGTTTTCCCATGGTATAAATGTTTTCTTTGTTTGAACTGTGTTTTTATATTGTCGCATTATGTTTTTCATAATTAAATTAGTAGTCTCTAGTACAAGGCACCTATTGTGTGAGAAATAGACCATGGGAAACTTATTTACTTTGTTATGTTCATTATGATTTTGACAATTTAGTCAATGAAAGTTACTATATGTATTCTAGAAAATTTTTGCACTATTCATTTTTATTAATTTCTTTTATTATTGGATTAATTTTTTTTATGTTTGTCGATCAAATTATGTAACACTCTTTTTTTATTATTTCAGTGATTCCATTAATTATGTCATATCAGTATGAATAATGTTATGAGGTTGTAGATGCACCAGTTGACTAAAGTAAAAATAATATCTAGGCTGTCTTGCTCAATTAATCACTTAGACATTTATATCTTAAATTTAAAGTTCTAATTAATAAGTTTTAGGATTGTGATCATTTATCAAAATTCAATATTCTTCTTATTTTAATTTGTCAATATCACATTGATTTTACTGTAGATGGAATCCCAAAGTATAGTATTGACAACTACATTCATGGGTACAGTCAGTCCATTTAAGTTGAAGTTGGGGCCCTTGTCAATGGATATGGATCCTCTTTCACTTATTGTCAAATGTCTTCCATAATTTATTTCTGGGGAGACTATTTGCTTCTGTATACTTTTGGACACACGCCTACTTTTGACGTTCTGCACAGTTTCATTGATTTGATCTTAAATCATCATTTATGTACTAACATAGTGATATATTTGTAGCCAATTTTGAACTTTCTGTTCAAACTGTTCGCAAGCAAAAGATTAAGACCTGCTCTCGTCAATTTAGGCCGTAGATAGCATATCTGGGGGGTCATGATGTGGATGACTTCTGAGCCAACATTGGTTAATATTAGATTTATTAATTGTTTTAACCTCATTTAGGCTGTTCTGCCCTTTCGTTTCCAGAGATGCCACAGTGTCCAGAGATTGCAAAACAACTTTTATGTGAAAGGATATCAATTCTTCAAGATCTTTGCAAGTTTTCTCAGGCTTTTGCTCCACTTAGACTTGAGTGATTGTAACACTGACTTGAAATGATTAAATTAAATGAGTCTCTTTCATAATTTTAATAAATGACAATTTTAAAACTTAAGGACATTTTGTGATTGATTTTCATCATAAAGTACATTATTATTGTGTACCAAATTCTCTTGATTTAATTTATTTTATTTGTTCTAGATGGCAGCATCAAAAAGCACTATGGAGTTCAGTTCTCCTACTGATGGAATCTTTACTTGGGCAACTCCCCTGAGTCAACCAAGAGATTTAGATTTTTCCACCAAAAGAAAATGTAATAATGATAGTGGATACAACAGCGTCAGCCCTGCTTCTGTCAGTAGAACATTAAACCACCATTACTCAGGAGCTACACCAGATATTACAGAGGATACCAGATTTGTTTCAAGAGAAGGAGAGGTTATGTATACTCCAGCTACGAAAGTAAAAACAGACTGTAAGAGGTTGTTATTACATTGTTCTCAAGATGGAAAATCTTCAGAATATTTGGGCAGTCCACCTATTGGAGAAATGGATTCCTATTCTGATTTCTTAATGGATGCATCTCTTTACACTGAGCCTATGGATATTTCAGTTGTGGAGTCTTCACCTCAGTTGAATATAATCCCTGAAGAAAGTTTGGATATGTGTGAAATTACAAAAAAAATTACTGTGGACTTGTCCATGGATGTTAGTTCAATTTGTTCTGAGCCTATCACTCCATTACGAAAAATTTATGCAGACAGATTATTCAAAACTCCCTTAACACCGATCAAGGCATCTTATACATCACCTAGAAAAAAAAGATTTCCTTTAAAAAAGAAGGTTCATCGACCAAAATTCTTGACAGGGTTTGAAAAAATAGATATTCTATATCAACTTGGTGAAAAATCCACTTATAATCCTGCAATTGAAAGAATCCTCAGTTATTTGTCTGATAACGATCTTTCAAATGTAACAATGGTTTCGAAAAGTTGGAAAAATATTTGTTTAAGTAATCCTAAAGCGAAAGAGAGGTGGCTGAATTATATTTCTAGAAGAAAAGAAATTAAAGAAAATCTACATTGTGTAAGTATGCTATTAAAATTCATACTGAGTTTTATTTTCAGTATTATGTTTTCATGTTAATTATTCTAGTGACCCTATTCTAATGCCATTGGGTTACTCATAGTTTAAATAGAAATAATATACTTTTGATAACACATTAATTTATTTTCTTATATTGAATGTTGGCTATGATTTTTAAAATGAATGGAAGTTGAATAAATTTGATTCCAAAGAGTTGTAAATACTTAAGGGACCAGGGGTGCTCAGTGAGTTGGGCACTGTGCTGTTATACTGAAGGTCCCAGGTTTGAGTCAGGCTGTGTGATAATATATTCTCTTATATCAGCTGTGGGACAAAACAGGTTGGGAGGCTCTCTTTGGGCACACGCAGCCTCTTTAAAATGCATACTCTTAATTAAATAATACAGAGTTTAAACCTGGAGGTCAAGTGTGATCTTAGTCAAATCATCTCCTTGCATAACCATTAACCAAGAAACAGTACATCCTTATTAAGTTTCAAACCCAATACTCTTCATAGGTTACAGTTATAGGTTTTTTTTAAATATATACTTTAGTAAAATATATATAAATATAAATTATAATAATTATATACTACAATATCTAAATCCATAAATATTGAATTTGGTCATAAGCTCTATATTAATAAATGCCTAGATTTTCGTGTGTTTGATAATAGTCAGCAGGTTTTTTTTACTAGTTAAAGTTTTGGATTAAAAATGTTTACTGGGTAAGAAATCTGTCTTTAAGTGCTAAGTGCTAACTAAACGAATTATTAACTGCTCAATAATAACTTTCTTTAAATCTTTGTCAAGGTGAAAAAGGAATTCTTGCATACCCGATTAGAACTGCAGCGTATTAAAATTTGAGGTAAAATGTGTGTTTTTTTAAAATGCTTCATTGTTGACTTAAAGCACCTGAGGATACTTAGAGCACTCGCTACTAATTTGTCAGAATGATAAAAAGAATCTCTGTTTTTATCCATTATATTGCTTTGTGTCATTGAACTTCTGCTATATCATCCACAAATCATTTTCACTGAATATGCTACTACCATTTCATAATTTATGCATATAATAACAATATACATTATAATTATTGACTAGACATCAAGATTTTTAAAAATATATATTATTTGACATTAAAAAAAATAGAAATCTATAATATTTATTTATAAGAAATTGAAAGTAATATTTTTTTCATTTATTGAGCATATGTAATTTGTAAATTAAATCATTCAGGTAAACACACAATCAAAACTAGTCAGAATCAATTACAACTACATTGATGATATAATTGACTATAGTATCTTAAGCTATTTAAGTATACTTGTTTGATGAATAATCTTCATTTTGAACATGATATAATCGAGGCTTGGCCAACATATGATGATTAGCTATGCTTCCCACTAAAAAAAATTATATTTCTCCTGAACGTTTTGTATTTCATTCTATGTTTAAAAAATATATATAATAATTGAAAATTAGAAGGTTATAATGTGTGCGTAACTACCAAATTCAGTTTATTTGATATCCAATAACACTAAATATTACTGATATTTTAAGAAGAGCTAGTAAAAAAAAAAAAAAAAAGATAAACAAATATCTTACTAAAAAACTGATAAGAATTAATAATATTAGGCCATTGTATAGTATTCAAGTTTTACAAACATGTTTACTTAAAGTGCAGCACACTGTAATGTTACACGTCATCAAAGTGGCCTCTGGCAGCCTAGTAAGGGTTGGGGAAAGAAGAGAATTTTGGGACCCCTAAGCTCACTTCTTCTTACTCAAAATTTGAAGATATGTGTTCTACATAATAATGCAATGTTAATTATTTGTTTTACTTCATATTTAATTGAATATTATATAATGTGTTCTGTCCCGAATGTGACGCTCTCCTTGGAATCGAGGCACGTGCCATTTGCCACTTTGTCACCTACTATTTACCCCATACTGTGAGACCTTTACGTTGACGAGCCCTGATCTTAATAAATTTTAATGTTTGTTCATTCTAAAACATTTTATTCTTTCCGCATTACATTTATGCTCTTAATCAATTATGTAACTACTGTAGTGTTTTATATTCATCTATTTTTCATACTGCTAAATAAATTACTGCTCTCACTTTTAAATTATGAGTTTCGATGCTTTAGTAACTAACAAAAAAATGAGTGGAACATTAATTATTAATTTTGCTTTTGTGTTGCTGGTGTTGATGTGTAAATATAACTCAAGAGTAATTTTGTGTGAATTGATATATTTTTTAATTTGTATTTTGTAAATTTATTTCTACTAAAATTTTAATTTAATTTTGTTATTGATTCTATTTCTATTTATTTATTTTATTTTTTTCATTTTTTTACCATTTAATAATTTCCAATTTCTCAATTGTTTTATTGAAATTAATTTAAATAAAAACACACTATGTATTAATCAATTTTTCGGAAGTAAAATATTTTTGTATGTGTCAGTAATATCCCTGTATATACATATTAGAAAATTTAACCTGTTAATTAAAATTTTTATTTTTAAAAATTTCGATATGAATTATAATTTATTGTTTGAATATTTATCTATTAATCTTGGATGTTAATAATCAGGAACTCTTGTGGGACATCCTCATGGCAAGTGAATTTAGTGAGATAAACACAATTATCATTTAATTCACTGGCTGTGATAGCCTACAAGCTTGGATAGAAAAGGCGGCCTAATTTACTTCCACATATATTTTTTTATTTACTTATGAAAGTTTTTTTTTCACTCTACACAATTTTTATCCCTTTGTGGTCACTTATATTTTATATTGGTCTACATGGTTGTATTTCCCTTAAAATTGATAGTACATTGGGTTTTGTGATATATAGTGTTAAGAGTTGAAATTACAACAAAAAAAAAAAAAAAAAAGAAAACCGATAACAGCCTCAGTTTTAAATGAATAAATAGTTTTAATATAAGTATAAATTTCTGTTTATATATCACTCATTCCCTGCAACAATGCCACAACTCGAAAATCATAACTTTTCTAGAAACTTAAATAAGTATTTTAAATATTGTTTTAATTTAAGCAGAACTATAGAAATAACAATAAAAAAAAAAAAAAAAAAAATTGGATTCTTTTTTAAATCAACAAGAATTACATTTTTCTATTTGATAGTTCATTGTAGTGCTTCTGATACTGATCCCGAAATCATGAAGTTTTTTTTAGTTGAGTTATGAAGTTGTTGCAGCAAATGAGCAATATAATAAATGTTTACTGGAGGAAAAGTCTCCAAGCAAATCCTACAATTTTGTAAATATTGCATGCCATTCTTAAAATTTATGTCAATAATATATTTGCTTGTTTTGAAATGTAATTTTGTAATATTATTTTGGTGATTGTTTTTTTATTTCTGTATTCATCTAATTGATTTAAAGTATAATGCTTTAGATTTATAATTTATCTTTTATTTTATTTTAGAGCGGAGGTAAGCAGAAAATTTCCACAACACCCTTATTGAATAGAAATCATAGCACACCATTAAAATTAAGACAGCCCTCAAGCCCACCTGTAAGCCCCAGTAAATTAAGATTTCATTTGTTTCAGAAGGTAAGATAATTCTTAATTAATCCTTTTAAGTTATTTTCATTTATATTTTATACTTTTTTGAAAATGAATAGCATAATCAAGTCTGTCAAACTGAAATTAGTGCGAATATTACCAATTTTTAGTAATTTTAAACGCACTTTCATGTGTCTTTATAAGAAAATAATTTTATAGAATTTCTTGTAATCATAGATATTTTTGTTAGTTTACTATGTGTGTGTTTTTTTTAAAGATTTGTCAATTTTTTAATAAAATAATGTAGACCATCAACATCTCACTTCATTTATGTTCATTCTGTTGAGGAAAGAGATGGTTATAAAAGGCGGCCATAAAAACTTTGAATAGTGAACAGCTATTTTAAATTTTTTTATGACTGCCTTTCCTCAGTAGTATACTACGGTCAACCATTGGGCATTCACTTTTTATTCAATGCTCATAAAAATTCAAGCATCATTAATTAGAAATAATTAATAGAGTATTTAGATAAATAAAAATAAAGAGTTAATATAGAACCTGATTCTGATTATGAAATTATTGTGTAAGAGCATGTCCAAAACATTTTTAGAAAAGATACACAAATTGAATAAATTAATTTTAACATAATTGATCTAAAGTGGACTAGAAAAACACAGTATCAACTTTAGAACATAAAATATTTGTTTAACATGAAGAAAGTTAAAAATATCAAATTTTATCTTGAGATGATTTTGACTGAATTTGGGGAAAAATATAATTTTATTAAGATAAATTATATAAAGATGGTTTAATAGAATCATATAATTGAAATTAAAATTGTTTAAGTATATTAGGTATGCCAAAATGAAGTAAAGTAATGGTATTTTAATTAATTTAAAATTTGTTATAGTAATTCAAACTTTTATTGTAATATTTTTGTAACATGTTTATCGATTTTTTAAATTTATTATTGTTTACTTATAAATACAAAAGATTGTTTTATTTTTAAAAGAATACAGACTGCTGAGTTGAGAAATTCATAACATTATTTGTTTAAAAAAAAACTTTTTTTTTATCTTTAGCTGTGTCAAAAAAATCGTGTCATAAGCATTATTAGAGAAAAATCATACATTCAATTTCCACCTTTAAAACTTCGTCATTTACCACACCCTCAAAAATATAACGATAAAGTTACTAGAAGAAAACTGTATGTTAAATAATCTTTTTATTTTTTAAATATTTCTATTTATTTGCATTAGACTTCCAGCTTCAACTTCAATTCAGATCAACATTTTTCTATCAGTTAAACAATTTTACGATTTAAAAAAATAAAATAATAAGTTAATAATGAAAGTTACTCACATGTTATGGTGTGTCTCCTTAGAAAGTCCTGAGCCTTCTAATTTTGGCAGTTGGCTGTGAAAGGTATGAGTCAGTTATGACACTACTTGGTGTGGGAATGTTTAGAGATAAGGAAGGCAAGGCATCATATTGAAGCATTGTTTGTTATCTTTGTTTTGCTTTTCTCTAGAGACCCTACTACTATTTATCTCGCTAACAATAACATTTTTTCATCAGGATACCTTCTTTTATCAATATCTTTCTTTTTCTTTTTAATTGCTTTTGAAGTTCACAAACAATAGTAACTTGTTCAACTTTCAAAACAATACTTTATTTTATTGTGTGTAAAAAGTAAGGTGTGAAAATACTTAATAGGATTTGGTATTTAGTGACCTACTAGACCAGTTTGGAGTATACTTATAATTAAATAGCCTATCATAAAATTTACCTTTTTTATTTATCTTGGTTTTCTTTTTTATCTGGTGTGATGGTTACATTGTTTATTTTAGTAATTTTTTTTTATTCCATTTCGTTTTCTTATTTTCAAATAGATAACCCTTACAAATAATAATAAAAAAAATGGTTCTTAATAATAATTTATAGTTCATTGTTAGAAAAATGCTTGATTTTAAATGTTTATTCTAGCATTCTGTTTTATAAGCCATAATCGTTATTCTTTCGTTTTATGAATTATTATTATAACCATAACTAATTTATTGAACTTCATATATTATTTTTTGCAGGAGGCAAGCAAGCTAAAAGAAGATGAAACATTGATGGCGTGTCCAAGCTGTTCTCTCCCCTCGACGTGTAGCCCATCTACAAGGCTAGGTCGGTGTTCTCGGTTGAGCTGTGGTATGGAATTCTGTTGTTCCTGCCGTTCACCATACCACGGCCGTAGACCTTGTACAACATCTACTCCAATCAGCCCGCAAAAGCCCAAGAGGATTGGAAGTAAAGAGAGCAAGAGGTTCCTTAGAAGACTGTGATAATATTTTTCCTTTGGGAAAAAATGATTAATTGCTCTAGCAAATATTCTACTTAATAGTACAATTTAAGTGCTCATGCCTTAGTTTATGTAAGTATGTGTCTTATTTCACTTTTTTGTTTGTGTCTTGTTCTCTAATTTTTGTTGAAAGTTTAATGTCTGTGCATCACATTGTAATTGTTCTTATTTGTAATTGAGATTTTTATTGTTAAAATGAAATTTTAATATATTGAGATTTAAAGGATATTGTATATAATTATGTATTTATATATTGAGATGCACATTACAATAAAAAAAAAAAAAAAAAGAAGAAGAATATATATACATATATGCAAACAAAATAATTTGAAGGATGAAAAGTACAAATCAGCCAATATCTGATTGATGAAAATTTTGCTCTCTATTTTATTTAATCGTGTTTTAGTTTTAAGTGATAATAAAGTTTTATATCTTCTATGTATGTTTTTATACTTTTGTACTTACGTTTGTATATAATGAATAATAAAGATTTAAACCCTTATTGATGTTTTTAGTTTTTTTTTTCAATTATACTGTTGTTTCTTATTAGATAGTTGTTTAATGTTTCTGGAAACTAATCTGTATTTTTTTGATTTCCATAATTTTATCCATTAATTATTTTACCTTATAAATTATTGAAACCGCAATGGAATACCACAACATAACTTAAAAAAAGGGTGACGATTATAACAGAAAATAACAAGACGAGAAAAGAAAAGCTCATTACTTAAATAAATTTATTATTTTTTTAAATAGTACAATTATGCCTATCTTAAATGCTTTTCTCAAGTGTACAGAACAATTTTGTCTACATTACATGGCATTAAGTAGTAAAAACAAATGTTTTCCAATAAGATCACAAATGATGGGAGTACCTTACAATTAGTGGTTCTAATCTTAAAATAAATGTTCTTAAATAAAATTAAATTAATAATCACAGAAAAGTAATAGTGGTTACTAGACTGGTCATGACCTAGTTAGTTAAAGATTCTTTATCTTTGATAGAGCGATCCCTTAGAGGAGGAAGCTACCTGCTCATTTACAAGGGGTAGACTGGTCGCGAAACTGTCAGATCCATCGTCCAAGGAGCCCGAGAGCAGCCTCCTTGGATCTATCTGATGCATTGTTTTGAATCTGGCTCATCCAAAGCCCATTACGAATTTAGGTATTTCGTATGTGAGTGATGGTATCGCCATTATGACAGACATCCTGTAAAATAAAAAAAATATTACCTGATATGAGTTTTCTAAGTAAACTTAAAAAGTATATGGAATAATTTATGTCTGATTTGTTATGTACAAAAATTTAGTTTAATAATTTACATATACTATGCTAGACAATTGGTTATGGATAATATTCAATTCTTATTAGTTTTCATATTCAATATGTAAGACAGCTTTTTTTTTTTTTAATAGGTAATTCTTATTCACATAAGGAAAACTAGTTTTTTTACTTGAAAAACTATACATTTCTATTTACTCATATTCATTACGATGTTGCTATTTTTGTCCAAAAAAAAAAAAAAAACCTGGTGTGATATGTGCATCACACAATTTTAATTTACCAACGTACATTTAGTATTACTCTCATTTATGTTTAGCTTCTCATCACCATATTATACATCTATATTACTATTTTATTTTTCTAATATATATTAGCCTGGGAAAATGTTTCTCCTTTAGTTAATTATTCATAGTTTATATTTATCCATTTTGTTTTACTTCTAACAATGAGAGAGACAGAGACATTAATTTAAACAAAGAGAATTAAACATAAAAAGATCAATTTTCTTATTATTCGAATGAAACCAGTTTTTAACTACTGATATCCTATTCTTGCTAAATGTCAACTTAAATAATTTCTAAGCTTCTAGTCTTTATTTTAAGCTCTGTTTTAATTTATTTTGCCATAAATAATTTCTATAATATAAAGTATATATACTCGTGTAAACTTTTCAGTGCTGCTCAGTAGAACTTGTTACCTCCGTCACACTGTTAGGTTTCATTAGTTCTCATTCAAATTTTACTAATTCTTAAGTCTCCTTTTGTTAACTATCAAATACAATTAGAAGCAGGTAATTATTTCAAATAAAAATATTTAAAGTACTTCAGAAGAAGCCATTTTGAAAATTTGCCAAAAATAAAAGAAAAATTCTCCTGATATTTAAGATCATTTAATTAAACATTGGATATAATGAGTTTGATCAAAATTGTTAAAGCTGTTTTCAAGGAAATTTTAAAAATATGTTAAATTAGTGAGTAATATACAGTGCCATTAACAATAAGTCAATTTTCAGGAATATAACTAGCTTAAATACATTGAAGAATTGAAGTTGTGAAAATATCAAGTGTGTGGAAGGAAAAAGGACACAAACACTAATAAAACGTGTTCCAATTAAAAACAATACACTTGTAAAGCCCGTCTTGTAATTGAGTCTGTGTGGATTTCATGTCATCAGCAAGACAAATCTCATTACAATTAATTTGTTTTTAATATTTTAGTTTTTACATTTTTCTGATTGCTTTTTATAGTAAACTTGTGTTTTGTCGTATGTTTCATGTTATCAAGTATACATAACTTATATTTGCTTTTTATCGTCACTTGTAACCTATTAAACTAAAGTTCATAAAATATTTTAATATTTATTTATTATTTTTTTTAATATGTCTTGCCTTATATTGAATATACAAAACATAGAAATGTTTGTTTCCATATCATAAAATTGAGTTAAAAAAAACAGAAAAAAATAAGTTACTATAATTTAATATAAATAAATACTATTAGAAAATGTATAAATATATATCAATGTACAAATTAGTGAATTTAGAATTTAAGTAACAGAAAGAAACACATTAATCACCACCAAAAAGGGTTGTCACATTCTTATCACCGTGCCTTTTTTTTTTTTTTTTTTTTCCGACTGTACTCTTACTGGTGTTACCAATGAAGGCTTAATATTTGTATTTGAATTTAATAAATATTTTAGAAAATAATTTAAAAAATTTTTTTTTATTAATAATTAAAAAAGTTTTGTTTCTATGATAATTAAAATTTACCATTAGATTCACAATTAATCTTTATTAAATAAAAATGAACTTACCCATTACTTTTCCACTCCTCCACCAAGTTATAAGAGCACACACCACAGTATCCGCTATATTTCGGGCCAATCCACGTCTAAATAAAAATGTAACCAACTCCAATACTATTCTATCATCATGTTAAAATATCTACTCTTAATAATAAATATAAAAAAGTTAACCTTATGAGGTTCGCAATAGAAGTAATTAATATAGAAAAAGAAAGTAAGAAAACAACTGAGATAAAAACATATATATAAAATAGAAACTAGAACCAAATCAGGCTTATATTTACATACAAATTAATACAGCATGTCCCCAAAGTAATTGTTCAAACATAACTTTCTAATAGAAAATGTAAATTAAATAAAAATAAAAAAAAGGTGAAAATATGAGTTTGCAAATGCTTTAGTAAAAAAAAAACAAAATATTTTCTGCCATTAGTTCAGGAATAAATAAAAATCACTTGTTCTATCCTACTATAACTTTGCATTAAATTTTTAGTGCATCAAATTAATTCTTCATGGAATATGATTTATACTAGATCCCAAAAAATAAATTTTATAAATATTGCCTTAATCATAACAGGCGTCTTTAGTTCAACAGAGATCCTTGCTAATCTCATGTTGCTATGAGGATAAAAATTTCAAGTTTGTTTAGATAAACACCGTTTTTAATATTTTTATCTAAATATTTTAATATGTTTAATATGAATCTTTAAATGATTAATTTATGATTCATAAATATAACATGAGTTTGGGGGCCTAAGTGACTGGTTTGGATAGGTTTTTCTCTGACTGAAATAGAAAGTAATCCCTAAGTTAACATTTACCCTTTCTTCCCGAGGTGGCAATACAATAATTTTATATCATATGCATATTTTTATGTAAATTAAAACAAACCAATCATTTGAAATGCTAATGTATCAATTCGGTTGTAATTTTATCCAATCTTCTCATGGTTAGTATCGAGTTTTTCAATGACAGCATAAGTTGTTTTTTATTTATTCTTAAAGCCTCGTCCAAAATGACACACTGCACTTAGCCTAGTCACACATCACCTTTAATCACACGAAACTTGTCCCATATGTGAGGCCACAACTGCCCCCTACCTGACCATAACCCCTCTTCAAACTTTACAGATAAGGTATCCCTCTGCAAGACATATTCGGGACACATTCAAGGATTAGCTATGTGTGAATCCTATTTATTTAAAAGGAAACATATTTTAACTGTCACAGATTCCATAGTGGGTAGACAAATTTCATATTGTAGGAAGTTCATTAAATTGCTTCACCATTTTTACTATTAAGTTTCTGTGTGATTTACAGATATAGATTATGCCCAATCCCTTAGGAAACTATTTTTTTTTTGGTTCGGTGTTAGGAGAAATGTGCCGTTTTGGATGAGTCCTAAGATATTTTCAGGAAACATGCTGCAGGCTCATATTTATCAGAACATTTTTATTTAGTATTGAATTTCCTTAGAGACTACAAAGTTATTTACTCTGGGGCCACTTCATGTAGGTATCCACTGATGACACAAGAATATTATCCATTAAACAAATGGAAAGCATTAATTAATATATAAAAGTTTTGAGTAATAAAGCACTTTAGAATATATTTATATATATAAACAGAATTTATCAAAATAAATTGATAGTTATTAATATGGTTTTAATAAATACACATACAATAAAAAAATAGAAATATATAATTAGAAGTAAATATTATAAGAAAATGAATGTTATATGCATTCATAGTTATTATGAATATTAAACAACCATGCATAATTGTTATTAAAAAATTAAGGAATAAAATATATTAATTAAGTAATTGTTTAAAAATTGGAATGTTTAGTACATTTTAGGGTATTAATGTAATACATTTAGTTTTAGGAGGACATTTTTTTATGGTAATCTGTTTTAAAAACTCCAAAATTCAAATTGAAGTTATTCTATTCTCATCAACTCACAAAGTAACTAATTACATCTGTTTAAGATTTCTCACCATTTGCTACAAGTTATGAGTTTAGAACTGATATTATGATGCAATATGCCTTCCAGAAATTTATTTCCTTTCCCGCTCTGAGCTTATATGAAGAATCAATCCAAAAATGTTAAATTATATCCATCCATTCAAGTCTTATTAATACAAAGTCAAAGTGTGATAAAACCTGATATGTCAGAGGAAAGACCATATGTAAATAGCAGTTGTTTCTCATTTATAGAAACACGGAGCTATTTTGGCAATATCAGATTTACACCACCTATTATGGAGGAAGGAATTAATTATTTCTTGAATGTAAAACTAATTACTCACAAATGTAATTTTAACAAACTTATTAAATTAAGTTTTTAACCCAAAATTGGCATTAATTATCATTTAACAATAATAGGCAGTTTATAAATGTATACATAATATGAAGATTACGATATCACCTTTCAATATGTTTATATATCTGTAAATATTTTGTAAGTAATATTGCAGTTGAACCATAATTTTATGATTTTATTACACATTTTCTTTCTTTTTTTTTATTATTAATTATAGTATTTATTAATTTGAAAGACTAAAAATAAAAAAAATATATTAATATAGAACTATTAAAATATAACATCAAGTATTATTGATTAAGCATAATTGCTAGCATAATTAATATAATTATTAAGAATAAGCATATGTGCTCTTCGTGTGCCAAACCTTAACTAGGGAAGTGTCCACCGGGTAATGGATGGGAGATCAATTTTAATAGGTGTTCTTAATACACTGATAATTAAGAAATATAAATTTATACTGAGTTAATGAACCTTATATTGAATCAATATTTCATGACGGAAAACAACTGATTCAGAGATTTGGAAGTATCAATACTTCTTTATAACCGATCTCTAAATAAGAAGATACACCTATCAGAGTGTAAAAGTACTATTATCCTTTCATAAAATACCCGTGGAAGGAAAAATAATTAAAGCATATGACTGAAAAAAAAAATTAAAATTGATATAATATATATAAAAGAAAGATAAGTATTTTCACAAAATTTTTTATTAAAAAATCTGAACATAACTTTCTAAAGTATTAACTTAAATATATATGGAATAATAAAAATATGGATGGATAGGATGTAGGTATAGTTTTATAAACTATATTTATGAGAATAAAACTGGATAATATGAAACAGTAGTACAATTTGTTAAAAAATATTATTCTTAAATGTTCTAGCTGGTTCTAAACTTTATTTACAGTTATAGATATTATTAAGTTAACTCATTCCTATCAAAAGATTTACAATATACTCGTGTAAAAAATATAAAATTATGTTGAGATATTTACAAAATCATAAAATTGGAAATGGCTCCCTCCAAATCCATATTTACAATGGAGACCATCACCAGCCAAGATCCCTCAACCAAGAAGCGGCTTTGTTACAGTCGAAAAAGCAGATTCTACATACGATAATGCTAAAGTGTTGTAAATCCAAGCTCTCCATCCTGTCTTAGTTTGGGCGTCTATCCTGCTTTCCAGTTCCTGGCAGAGAGATTTCCTGTCATGTGATCTTCCAGACCTCAGATCGCATAACATCCGCTTTTTACATTCTCCATCACATGGAGGTTTAACTGGTGAACTTTTCCAATAATACCTAGTCAAAATAAATTATTGTTGATATGTAAGTGATTTCCATTAAAAATGTTTTCAATTTGTTATTTCATTAAAAGGATGTCAACCTAGAATAAGGTAGGCTTACTATTCATTTAAAGTTTACTCAGAAAGTAACAATTCAACTTGTTTTTTGATCAAATAAAATCACTGATTAATTGTCTATACTTAACATACTGTCATGAATTTCTGAATAAAAATTAATTCACCATTATAAATCAATAAATACAAAGACTTTGACAATTTCTATATTTACCTGTAGTATGTTTCAAAAATTGTGTCATTCTCTGCCAATTTGTACAAATAATTATCCCATTCTTGCGGAACAAGAGAAGGCATTTGGTAAGCTTGACGAGTACTGTATTCCTTGTACCAAATAGGATAATCGTAAAGGTTGGCTTCACGCAAGTTCATGACCCACGTTTCATGGTCCACAACAGCCTGAAATAAAGTTGAATATAGTTATTATTCTACCTCTTACCATTAATTGTAATAGTTATGTTAGTTTGATTATTTCTTTGTTTCTTATAAAGTTAATATAAAATGATAAAAATTATTTTTCTAAATAATAATATTACCCTTGTTGATTGATCATGATCTCCATCAACATAATATATCCTATAGCCTGGGTTGAGATCATTGTAAGGTGTCACTGAAGGTCCTACGTAAGCAATACTTATTGCACGACCCATGTCCTCCTTATCATAGAATACTTCAAATTCATCAAAGTGGGTATGGCCAAAGAACTGAGCTGTGATTGTGTTTTCATACCTGAAACAAAACAAAAAAAATGCAGTAAACTGTTGATAATAAAAAACTTTAGAGCAAATAATAAAACAGTGCTTAAAATGGGTGGTGAACAAACAGTGAAGGTAAATAATTTTGCTATCCCAAGTTACCAAATTTTGTTAGAGACCTTAGACCATTAGTAGATTCAGGATTTTTTTTTTTTGTTTTTTAAACCGATAATTACTTTGGAAGAAAAAAAAATAGAAAACTATATAAAATTATGTTTATATGGATCTTGAGGGTCTGTTAAAAAAAAAAAACTGTAATTGCAGGAAAAATAATGCTTATAGTGGTAATTTTTACTTTCACTTTACCTATATATGAAATGTATAGTATGGGAAATTGTAATCATGAAAATTTTCTAATCCAAGTTTTCAACGGAAATACACATTTGAAGTCCCCTGAGTGCAAATAACGAAGTCTCACAAAATGGTTTGTGTGTGTGTATTTGTATAGTCAAGCTCAATACCGAAAAGTCACAAGAAACTGAAATTGCGTATTTAAGGTTTGTATATGTCTGGAATGTTACAGCAAATTTTTCGCTAAAATCAGCCAATCAGAAGTGCCACTTTATATCATGGATTTTACACATTTTTACAATTTTCTCAAAAATGCCTCTAACAATTTTGGTTAAATTCATTATTATATCATTATTATTTTTTTTTTTTTTTCGGGTTGGCGTTACAGACCATGAAGATCTTTGACTGCGAGTGTGGTCTCCTTGACCACATCTTGATTCCTGATTTATAGTACGGGGTAGGGTCATCAATACTACGTCCAGTCGGTGTGAGTTGCCTGCAGTAGACTGACATCTTTGGTTTTTTGTAATTCATTATACATTTGAATTTGTTTAATACAATTAGCAACAGGCTTTTTTATTTTATACAAAAAACAAATCAATTGATATATTACAACCTAGAAATCTGTGCACAGCAATAGAAAAATCAATAATATAAAAAAATGTAAAAATTTGATAATTTTTTTTTTTCGGCTGCTAGAGAGTGTATTGACAAGAACCCTCAGTCATGGGTCTAATGTTTTTTTGCCCTAGTGTCTACACAAACAGTTTCATTGAAATGGTTGATCCCATGTCCCTAGCCTCCCCTTGTGAGATAAAAGATCGTAAGTTATTCTTGGAGAAATTATTTTGAAGTTAGTCCATATTCAGTCAATCTGTTGTTTGTATTCAGACTGATTTTGATAATGAATTCATAGTGAACTGTAATTGTCAAGATTACATTGTGTGCAAATTACGTATTAATTTTTTCATGTATATTTTGAAGTAATCAGGTATATTATAATTTTTATAAACAACAAGGTCTTCAGTAAAAATTGTAGTTTGAAATAATAATTTAAATTGTAAATTATTTTAATAATTAATAGATTTTTAATTTAATGCTATTGTTATTAATCAAAACCACCTAAAAAACAAGAATATATTAAAGGAAAGTTGTTTAAGAAAATAATTAATTAAAAATAAAGTCTGAAAATCAGATAGCAATGGCAACTTAAAAAAAAAAACTGAAAATTCTGCAATAAAAGTGTCTCCAACAAAAATAAGAAATTCGGACACGAATAAAAGCATCAATATTTATCAGTTAAAAGCATGATTTGATTTCAGAGCTCAAATTGATTCCTAAGTTTTCTTCAACACCAAATACTTTCATCTTCAACTTTTTTCAACTACTCTAATCATCGTATATTATTATCATTAATTGTAGGTTGCGTTTATTTATCTTATAATTGAAAAATTTAATAATAATTAAAAAAATGTTATCCGTCATTGATTACTTGACTATTACTGCCAATGTTTTATTGTACTATAATTTGGAATCTCTGTCTAAGACCAGGGATTACCAAACTTTTTGGCGCATGGGCTACATTCAGACCTATATTAACTCCAGTGGGCCACAGTTGGTGATGAGGGGAAATGAGGGGTTTGGAGACCCCTGTCTTTGAATAAATAATTGGTCTTTCATGTGATAAATAATATAGACTGCCAACAAATATTCAAAGCAAAGTTAAAGTTATTTAAGTAAACTCAGTAACCTTTATTGAACATATGTTGTAATTGTTCATGTTTTTTACCATCAGCTAAAGATAAGCTTCAGAATAATAAATTAATTATCTGGTGATAGTTTGGTATATTTGTATATAAATTGACAAACCATACCTGTTAATAATAGTGTAATAATTTCTGCTCCAGACGCGCAAACAGTCGCTGTGACCAGGAGGAATATGACCAATGACATGAACTTTTTCTCCACTGAATTCAGCACTCTGCAATTCATAAATGAACCATTGCAGTTCTTTGGCTGGATCTGTACTATTTAGCAGCAACCACCTATTTAAATAAGAGATTATAAATTTCCATAGTATTTTAAACAAAAAATTATATAATAGATATATTTTTTAAAATGTAATATTAATAGTGGTATTAGTTTTGTTTAGATTATTCTGGTCTTATCCCTGAACTAGCAGGAAGTATCGATATCTACAATAAAGACTTCTTTTTAATTTCTCAAATCTTTGAGGATAAATTGGTTCTTACCAGTTCTTATTGTTACAGTAGTTCATATTTAGTGATATGATTCTGAAACCAGGTCTGACTAGAACTGAATAGAATGCACCGCGCCTCACAGTTCGAGACACACTATTTGGGAGCCATTTTCGCCACTGAGTGTCCAGCTCATCATACAACCAATTGATAGCATAATCATTCTGAATGAATGGCGGTGGAAAGCTAGAAAACAAATATATCTATACAATAAACAAATTAAAGAGATCTATCATTCTATATCTATAAATAAAGAAAAACACTAGAAAATAATAATTAAAAAAAAATTGTACCTAAAGTGTTATGTTTTTTATTTCAAAGACTATTTAAAGAATTTTTCAATATTCTAGAACTAGAATAAAAAGAATTTTAATCAATACTGGTACATATAAGTAATTCATCACTTTATTTGTGTAACAATTACACACTCTATCAGCAGTTTTTTAAAAGATATATTGGAAGTTTTTAACATACATTTAGAATAGTTCAGGAATATGAATAACCTAAGGTTTATCTTTTGATCTCTGTTAGGTCATTTTGTTTATTATATTGTTAAAATTATATTTTAAAGTTAGTTTTCATTAACAGTCTCTTACATAGCGGATCGGATATTTTCTCTCATAGATAAATTTTTAAAAACATTTCAATGACTCTAAACAGGAATTGAACTTATTCCAATACTGTAAGAGTTCTTACACTCTCACAGAACTGACCCTTGAGCCTAGAGATTGTACTGATCATACAACAATATTTTATGATCTCTTCTAAAGAAATAGATTCACACTCAGTTATGGCTGGGTAATCCGGACAATTGCCCGAAAAATCACAAAGTGTATGAGAATTATTAATTTTAGTCTATTAATAAAGCAACAGAATTAGATACATATTTAGTGTAATAGAGTTCAAAAATTACTTAATATAAAATAGCTTAAGAAATAAATAATTTTTTCAAGGGAGAGATGAAGTCATTGCCTGGAGGCACCGAATATCTAAGGCTCCCACTTCATAAGGTAAGATCAAAAGCAACTAGGAAGCATAGTTATGTATAGCATAGCCATGGATAACATTTTTATTTGCATTAATGGCTTATGGGCCAGGATATAGTGTAATTAGAGATTAACTTAGAATTCTATCAAGAAAGGTTTACAAGGTGTCAATTCCTTGTTTTTGGACCATGAGGAAAAAAAATGGATTGTAGCAGAACTGAGCATCAGACACTCTGCACGTGGTCCTGTGGTTGCATCTCTTCTGCTCTTTTGTGCTAGAGTTTTCTCAAGAAACACCTCACAGATACAGTCAAGAACTTATTAATTTTTTTTTAAGTAAAAGTTAATAAGATTATAAACAAACAAGAGCTCAAAAAAGATGATGATATTGGTTTGGAAAATATTGAAAAGTATGTTTATTTCAGAACTTTACAGGAATAAACAGTGGAAACCTAAAGTGAATACCTGTTAACAGGAGCAGCTTCATGATTACCGAGGGCAGGAAAGATGGGTATTCCAGGAAACATTGTAATCATCTGATTTACTGTCTCTTTTAAGATCATCAAGTTTTCTTCTCTAGTTTGATTCCAAACATCATGGGGAGGAAGGTCTCCTGTCCATAATATGTAATCTATGTCCTAGAATTCATAATTAATTTTATGATGAAACAGAAAAGATTAAAGATATCATATTTGTGAAATCAAATTAAATTAGGATATCACTAAATTATTAATGAAAATTTAAAATATAAATTTTAAGCTCAATCAAGCTAGTTTCATATATTATAGTACTTACTGGGTGAGTTGCTGTAATATGAGTGAGCATGTTATCAACAGTTCTTTTAGGAGTATCACACTTTCTGTAATCTCCCCAGCGACCGGCTGCAGCTCCTGGGTTTGGGGCAGGCCCGTTTGTAAGCCTGCAGCAGAGTGGTTCTTTACAGTCAGCATTAGACCCTTCTTGATAGTAAGGGTCAAAGTGGGTATCTGACAGATGTAACACTTTAAAAGTTGCTGCACCTTCCTGCAAAATATTGTTATTTTTTCTATTATAACAAAAGAAAAAAAAAACTATGTTTTCCACAGAGTTATTTTATTTTAATTTAATACTGTACATATTAGCACAACCAGCAAACATTATAATGTATCTATTTTATAATATGAAATATTTATTTTCTTCTTACTTTAACTCAGAAAAAAAAAAAGATGGAGGATGGTGTATATGATTAAAATAAAACAAAATTCTTTTTGACTTGAATTGTGTTAGAATTTGAAATTAATATTGATATTAGGAATGTGATAAGGTGAGATTTTTCAGGATATAGTTAAGGTAAAGAATTAAGAGTTGACTGCCTACATTAAAAGGTTTCGGAATATTTTTACTGGATAAATATTTTTGATATAGTGGATTTCCACTCTATTCTCAGTACACTGTTGGTTTAAAGTTGTTGACTACTTACTTAGTCACTAAAAAGTTCTTTAACCTTTTTAAGTATTTTTAAATTACTTTAAAAATAGCTACCAATTACATGCAGTAAATTTATAAAAAACTAGTAGGCCCGTGCGAAAAATTCGCACAGTATATTGTTATCAAATGCTAAATTAATAAGAAAATAAAATAATGCAAAGTATCAAAAGAAAAAGGAATAGATAATAAAATAATGCAAAGTATCAAAAGAAAAAGGAATCAATTCTTACTTCCTCGACAAATATAATCGACAAAGGAAACAAAATTAATTTAAATCATCATTTTTGTTTGGAACCAATATATTTACAAATATCAATAAGCTGTATCTTTGCGAAAAATTGTCGGATTTCAATGATTTTTTTTCCCTTTTGTAAACATCGTGGGAATAACCAAGGGAAAAGTGTGTAATTTTTTAGTTATTCGCACATAAAGTTTCTTTTCTTTCATAACTTGTTTGTCTGAATTTTCGGGGTGATTGGAATATTTTGCCCACCTGAAGGAGAAGGAAGCTTTCGAAATTGGTAGCTCAGTCTTGAGATTTGGTGAAGAATTAACGATGATATGGCTTGCCGATCAAAAACACCGTCGTTAAATAATATAAACTCCTCCTGTCTCGATCATAGAGACCTCAAGTCGACGAGATGAGACATTTATCCAATGACAGTACTACAATTAACGTCAGGTCGAGATAACCCCATGCCTTGCATTATCTCGAAAATAGTACGTTTTTGGGCTTAAAAACGCAGGACCCGATAGTTCCGCAGGAACTATCCGGCTCTTGCTGTACGCCTCAAAATCTTCAAGGTCCAATTTGTCCCGCATCGATCTACAGACCTATCACCGTTCCAGTATTGAAGTGTAGCAAAATGTTTGTATCGACTTTATTTATTTTAGAAAGAAAAACAAAAGCTGAGAATACGATTCGCTAACCCCCCCGTGAAATTCTGAATCCAACGGTACCCCATTCATGTTATTTGAGCATGACAGGAGCTTATATTTGGTACAAAACCGATTTTGAGCCTTACTGTAATAATATATGTACGGATAATGTGATGAAATTTAGACATTTTGAAAAATAAAGGTTCATTTTATTCTTAGTTTTTTAAAAATAGTGAATGACGCAGCATAATCAGATATTTCCTTTGAAAAAATTAATTAACTGTAGAAGCAAGAGTAGGATCAAAATTTACCTTTGGTATAGGGAATGCTTTTGGTGTTGGCTTTGGGACAGGAGGGAAAACTACTTCCCAATCATGGGATGGATTATATACATCTCCACAAGCATCACCAATGACAAAACTGCAGATTTCTTCAGGTCCAAGTAAAACCCTCTTGAGAACATATACTACTTCTCCCTAGAAAGAAGAAAGAAAATACATTTTACCTGGTTAGGAAATTTACAAATAATAAGAAATTAGAGAGAAATGTACACAAGCTCATGAATTTTATTTCATGGGCTTCATTTTTTTATTGTAGTGAATGAATAATTTTTTTTTTTAAGTGGAACAAATAAGCATGGTGTAAGAAAAAAAAAATTTCTAGTCATATCTTTTAGGTCCGGTGACATTTTTTAAAAGTTTTTTTATAAAATATTAAGCACAGTTTTTATATCAGGTATTATTTATTCTGCGTTTTGGCTTCAGGAGCTATTTTCAAGATCCTGCAAACTAATTTGAATTTAGTTGTTATATTTCAAATTAGATCATTATAAAACATATATTAATTAAATAACAATCAGTTATATAAATAGTCCAAATTCTATTTTATATGATTTTATTTTTTATATTATTTGTTTATAATTTTTAGCATTTTGGTTAAACTTATTGTAAAATTTATCATCTACCTATCATGCACCACTTCATAAAATTTCCTAAAATGTATTATTATAATATAATTTGTCGGTTTGTCATTCTATTATTTCATCGAATGTCGTTTTTTCACTTCTAAAAGTTATAATAAATAATCAAAATAGAATGTTAAAATTTTTAAGAAAAGAAAAGAAAAACAAAAACAATATTATTTGTTCTTAATTTATTTACCTCTTTTGTAGACGATATTAAAAGCTGAAATGTCCTGAAGCCGAAATGTCGAATAAATAATACATGATGTAAAAACTGTGCATTTGGTGACCTTTGGCCTAATATTTTATAAAAAAATTTTGAAAAAATGTCACTGAACCTAAAAGATATGACTACAAAATTAATTTTTTTTCTTAAACCATGCTTATTTATTCCACTTCAAAAAAAAAATTATTCATTTACTACAATAAAAAAATGAAGCCCATGAAATAAAATTCATAAATAAAAGTAGGATTGAAGTTTGTGTACATGGATTAACAACAAATAAATTAATTTTTAACTAAATATTTGATTAAAAAAAAGGTTTATTGTTCTTGACTTACTCCAAAAAGCTCAGTAATTCCTTCACAAACTCTCTGAGTTTGAAGTTGAAGGCTGACACAAAATTTGTAAGTTATTTGTACTATATCTTCTTTGGTTTTTCCTGCTCTAATGTAATGCTGCAGTAATCCCGCTCCTAAAATACAAAATTATCAAAATGTGTTGTAGAATGATAATTTCTACATATTGTAACACCCTGCAGAATTTTATGCAAACTAATTCACTCATATAATAACTAAGATATTAAAAAAAGTAACATATTCACTGACCAGCTTTGCAAGCAGTACAGGACACTTTGGACATGACAGAAGTTTCAACTTCAGTTACAACCTGCTTCAGGTTGAGAAGTTTCAAGGCTTTTTCTACGATCCTAGGGAGGTGACGGCCACGCCTCATCTCACCTGTTGCAAGATCCTCATCGATCTCACTCAGAAGCTGAGTATAATTTACCTACAAATCAAGATGCATGTTAAATAATTAAAGTTGTAAAAATATATATTGAAAATAGAGGTGCTACCAATTTGATGTCACATATCATTTTTATATTATTAATGCAAATAAGCCATCCCCAGTTTTATACTATTCAACTTAATTCCTGCTCCCCTAGCCTCTGTTTGACCATCATTTTATGGCCACATTATACTTTGGAAGTTGAAGACAAGGTGGCCAACCATGATGGAATGATGGTCGATGGTTTCAGAGTTTCCGGTTCAGAACATTTTGGATTCAATTCCAACTGGGTCCGTTAATGTTTATTTTTTGGTAGCTCTGAAAAACAAATCTTGACACTCCCACTCTGATTAATACTTGGCAGCAACCTCTAGGTAGCCATTCAAGCCATCACAACGCCGACTAGCCTGATTGGTTTCCCCAGTAAATATCAACATCAGTACCAGTAGTCTGGAAGCCAAAGTGTTAAACGTTGATTTTGTCAAATATCAAATCAAATATTTTAGTTCTATGATTCCTCCCAAATATCATCATGTCATCAGCAGACTTGAGAAAAAAAAAATGTGTTATTGTTTTTGTCTAAGGATATACTTAAATAAGTTTAATGAATACACATTTATTCATAATTTATAATTATACACATGGCTTCAAATTTCTTTTAGAGATTTAATAATTAATACTAATATTATTTTTTGAGTGTTCTATGTAATAAATTGAAATAAAATAAAAAAAATTTATACATTTTTTTATAGAAATATTCTAAAATAACAGTTATCTCCAATTCACAAAATCAAAATGTTATTTTAATGGTTTTAAATGAAAATTAAAAATATTATTGATACATTTAGGTTGTTAAAAAAATATAAAAATTTTCAATTACATAAACTTTCAGGAACTATAATTATTATTATTTTTTTGTATAAGTTTAAGGATGGATTCTGGCCATGGTGTAACCATAGGAGGAGAAAAAGGGAAAAATTTTCTCCCAAAATAACCATTGTGAAAAAAAAATACATACCACTATTTAAAATATATTTTCATATACCAGTACTCGTGAATAAAATGCATACATATATAGAGGATAATCAATTTACTACAATTTCCCCAAAAGAAATACGTAATATTTCTTCTGTATTTTTTGGTCACCTTCATAGTTCTACAATCTCCTTATTCCCTCCTTCTCCCCATAAAAAAAATTACAGATGATTTCAGACACTATTTTATTCAAAATTCAGTTAATAACAGCAGTGGAAGATACAAAAATTCTTCTAAAAATGATGGTAAAATTCCTGTATTACCTTAAAGCCAAAATAATTAATACAGGAACGTAATAATTATAGCTAATTCAAAGTATAAATCATCACAATGTGATCATCAGCAACAGTTAATTAATAAACAGCGCTAGCTGCGCCATCAATAGTTTTTAGGGGGGCACGTTTTAACAATTTTTTGAATTTTTGAGGGCGATACATATCGATGGGGTTATAAATTTCAGAATGAAAAGTTAAAAACCAGAAGACAAGGGGAAACATGAAACAGACTGCAGGATGTGTAATTGTAAATAATCTAAAAACAATTAAATTATATTTTTTTCAACTATTTTTAAGAAGAGCAATAAAATATCTTGAGAGAGTTTCATCGCCATCGACCCTGGGGGAGGGGGGGGGGTGAGGATGGGCATCTCTGTCAGGGACAAGTAACTCACCTTCCATTTCTTTGCTTTTGGGGTTTCCGGAAAAATATTTGATATCTCCTTTTTAAAATATAAAAGCCAAAGAGAATAAAAAGCCTTTTTTCTCTTTGGAGAAAGCGTTTTGTAGGTTAATATTAATTATTTTGATTGGGGAATAAATATTCTTAGTAATGTTTAAATTATATTTTCTGCTAAATTCTAAAACGTTTGTTTGATGTTTCATAAATTTCCTTGAGTAGGTACTAACGTTGATAGTGAGTGACTCAACCGTTTTCCACCATTACTCTTCGAGAACATAGACAAGCGCTTAAGTGTTGGGCTGACAAAGTTTCAACTTTCTCCATCTCATGACTTCATTTTCTCTTTTAAAGTGAGCGTAATTTTGGAGTAGGAGTCTCCATTATTTTTCGATGGATTCGGTGAAATCTGGCTTTCAGTCTTTCGACTTACAATTAAAAAAAAAACAAAGAAAAAATCTAGAAATATATATTTTTGTAAATAAAAATCAGAACAGAGTTGAGAATCACATTCAGCTGACGTATGTTTGTATATACCCGGTTTCACTTATTTCAGTTCACAGGTATCCTAAGCGTAAACCTATGACCTCATGTCCCACAGTATCCTTTAATAATACCCCACTTATCCCTGTTGAACAAATCCGATACCTTGGACTTCATTTGGACAAACGTCTAACTTGGAATCCTCATACCAGACTGAAACGACAAGAAACCGCTCGACGTTTCCGACTACTCCAACACTTACTAGACAAACGCTCTAAACTTCCCCTTAATTACAAAAGACTCATATACTTGACTATAATAAGACCTATTTGGATTTACGGAGTTGAGCTATGGGGCTCCACTAAACCATCGAATTCCTCTCGCATCCAATCCTTACAATCCAAAATCCTTCGTAAAATCCTCAATGTTCCTTACCTTGTCACTAATAAAATAATCCATAAAGACCTCAATGTTCCATATGTTTCCGATTTGGCCAAATCCAGATACCTATCCTTCTATAATAAACTTCATAACCATCCGAATCCTCTTGTTTCTAACCTTGCTTCCTCTTCGATTCCTGATAACCCTCCGAGGCGTCTGAAAAGAAGATGGCCTCGTGATCTTCTCATGTAGACAAATTATTTGAGTGCTACCAGTGGGTAGTTTCTCAACAAGCGTGTTTCATGTAATAATATTTCTCTGTACAAATTTACTAGATGTATTCATACTAATACAGTTGTAAATGTCATAATAAAAGTTTAAAAAAAAAAAAAAAGGTATCCTAAGATATTAAGATGAGCATTACAACTAAAAATTATAACCCTTACTTATTCATCCTTTGTCACCAATTTCCGAAACAAGTTTTGGAACCTAAGGGCCATAAAAGATGTGTATTAAGTTAAGATGTTTTTTAACCTTTTTTTCTTTTTGATAGTGTTACCATTCTTTTTTCCTTTAGGTTTAAGTAAGTAAATGAAGGGAAAACAGATAATGGTTATCATAAAAGTTTAGTTCTTCCTAGAATATAATTGAAGTATTCAGAAAACAAAACTTCGTGCCTCGAAAATGTCGATGAATAACTTGAACAGCCACTATGTTACCCCTATTCTACTATGAAGTTATTTTTAAAAGGCTCAACTAAAAATCCTTAATATTTTTTTGTAAAGAAAACATCCTCCCCTTTAGATGTAAACAACTTAACGAGAAAGTCAGGGAGAGGAAACTTTCGATTTTTTAGAATGGGTTATCTAGATGTTGGTCCGGATCGAGATAAAAACTTATTTATTGCTCCTACTTAGAAATGTTCTGCCATCTTTCTCTGTTAATCAACCTCTTTTATATAGAAGGTAGCACTGCAAAGTGAAGCAGCAGCGAGGGTGCCCATCCTCTCCAAGGATGATGGCGCATGTATCTCGTACTCCTCCAATCCAAGATATTTTATTGCTCTCCTCTTCTTAAAACAGTGCAGGAAAAGATAAAATTAAAAAAAAACTAAGGTGTATGCTTCAGATCACACGATAGAAGTGAAAACATCAACAAGACGAGATTAATAATATGAAATATAAATTATAAATAATAGCTCATTATAAATAGGATGAAATCCTGAACACTTCCCTCGCTTACAGTATGCATGTCCGAATTTTAGTTTCTGAGATATTTTATTCCTTATGTTCAATAAAACTATTTATCATTTGATTTTCGACACTATTTTTTCACTTTTGCCCTATCTACCACGGCGTCGCATTAAGATACAATTTTGAATAATAGCTCATTAAAAAGAGGATGAAATGATGAACATTTCCCTCGCTAATAACATGCAGGTCCGATTTTTAGTTTTTGAGATATTTTAATCCATATGGAAAAACACTTCGTAGTTAGCAGACTCCAGCCGACTTTACCCGAGCGTTACATATCGGAGATTTGACGGCTCAATCTAATTCACTCTCAAAAAAAAAAAAAAAAAAAATATGGAAAACGCTCCGAAAGAAGTTTTCACCGAATTCCGACTTTATTTATCGATACAAAAACTCCATGTCCATCAAAATGATACAAACCCTTTTATGTTTAAAATATATTAACAACAAGCACACATTTTTCTGATTTTTTACTTCAAAGTTCTGAATTATTTAAGGTTACGAAATGTCACTTAATGACTTTTTGCAATAAGCCGTCGAGTGTCGACGTTCAGTGAGTAAGCTGAGCACCTTTGTTCCGGATCCCGTATTGAAGTCAGGTTGTGGCAATTATTTATTTTGTTGCATCAGCCGTGAATTGACCCTGGGGTTAGAAGACCCTACTGGGCAGGAGTGTCCATCCCTTCAAGATCGATTGCGCAAATACCTATCTGCCCCCCTCCCTCCAAGATATTTTATTGCTCAACTTTTCTTAAAATCAGTAGAAACTAAGGTAGAATAAGACAAATCGTAGATCATATACAATTACACTTGCTGCGGTCTGTTCTATGTTTCCCCCTTGTCCTTTAGTCCGAAACTTCATAGCCCCGTCAAAATATGCTCCCCTCAAAAATTTTGATGCTCCATGAAACCCTCTTCTGGGCATCTCTGCTACTGGGCACACTCGGTCTCTCCAAAAAACAGCGTTTCCTCCCTAATTAGTGATTATTTATTTTTTCTGTTTTTCCTAGATTTTAAAACGAACTTAGGTTGTAGTGGTACTAATACACAATGTATTAGGATGTCCCACAAATTTCTTCCTTTATTTTTATTTAACTTTTAAGATTGATTATTGAAGCCCAATTGATTGAAGCCCGTTATTCACTCTTTCCAAAATTGGAGACGTACTTGCAA